CCCAGCAAACGATAGAAAATCTTTATTGAGTACTTTATGCTAAGCAAGACACTGAGCTGAGTATTTGCATCTATCACCTCATTTAGCCCACACAACTGCGTGAGGTGGGCCTTGTTATCGTCCCCATTTTATTTTTTATTTTGTTAGAAGATTTTATTTTATTTATTTGACAGAGAGAGAGAGGGAGAGGACAAGCAGGGGAAGCAGCAGCAGAGGGAGAAGCAAACTCCCAGCTGAGCAGGGAGCCTGACAGGGGGCTTGATCCCAGGACCCTGGGATCATGACCTGAGCCAAAGGCAGACTCTTAACTGACTGAGCCACTCAGGTGCCCCGTCCCCATTTTATGTATTAGGTACTGGAGAAACAGAGAAATTGAACAGCTTGCCCAAGGTTGCATGCCTTGTAGGGGCAAAGTTGAGATTCTCACTGTAGGATAACCTTCTTAACTTCTATGCTACACTGCCTTTATCCAAATGAATGAATGGGTACAGAGATATGCACAAATAAACACAAATAAATGAAGTGTGATGAGCCTGGGAGCAGGTATGAACTCCCTGGGGAATAGGGCAAAGTTAGCAGTAGGGGTAGAAGAGTGGCAAGAGGGGAGATGGGGGAGACTGTGCACTGGAAGGGCCCCTGCACTTGAGCCAATGGTGGGTTACAGCACCTGCCTATTCCATACCTATTCATCTGAGCACATGTAGGCTATGACCCTCTGTGCCCTAGAGGGTCAAATGTTTCCTTCTTAGTAAAGCTTTTTGGGCCACCCCATATCATGCTGCAACCTGCACCCCCCCACACACACTACTCTCCTCCATTTTTTTTTTTTTTTTACAGTACTCATCACCTTCTAACATATTATATAACTTGCTTATTTGTTGTTTATCTTCTGCTTCTTCCACAGAGGATCTCTACAGATCATTATTTTTCTGGTTCACAATGTATCATCAATGCCTAGCATATAGTATCATCAATGCCCAGCATATAGTAGGCACTTAATAAATATTTGTCAAATGGATAAATGAATGGGCTGAGGTAGCAGTGACTTGGGGGGCAGGAAAACTGGGTTTGGATTTAGCCTTGTTATGTTGGATCTTGGACAAGACCCTTTCCCTCTCTGGGCCTCATTCTCTGCGATTCCACAAAGGGCCCAAGGCCCTGAAGTTGGGCCTTAGCCCCTGGCCTCAGGATTCTGTGCCTGACCTTACACAAGCCATCCTTGGTGAGCAGGGGTTCACCCCCAACCCTGAGGTGGAATCTGCTCTACCAACCTACAGGACCTGAGAACCCATGGGTCTCATTTGCTGGCTGCCCTGGGGGTTGGGAGCACCTCCACTCTAGCCTCCCCAAGGGAGACAAAACTGGTCCAACTGGTTCTCCTGGGCCACACCAATACCTGCTGCATCATCTGAAAGTTCCAAGCCATTGCCTCTCATTTGTCCCAAATACTCTCAGCTTCTTAAGACAAGGAAAATGGAGCTTTACAGGGCTTTAGGTTAGCCATTTCTCAGCCTACATGACAGATTCTTCTTGAGGGAAACTTACCCTTGGCCTCCATGGATAGGGAAAAGGGGATGGGTAGAGCGGGTCTTCTTCTCTCAAAGTGCTGTTGTTGGTTCATTCAACAAATATTGAACAAAACAGAGAAAAGTCTTTGTCCTTGTGGACCTTTTGTTTCTAATGAGGGGAATGGACCATAAAGAAATGTCTAATATAATGTCAAGGATGATGAATAAAAATGAAGAGTAAGGGACTAGATTGTGATGAGGGTGGGGTGGGACTATTTTAGACAAATTGGCCAGGGAAGTCCTAAGGAAATAACTACTGGACAAAGGTAAATAGAGGGAGGGGGCCAGACATATGAAAATCTGGGGGAAGAGCATTCTAGACAGAGGGAACAGCAAATGCAAAGGCCCTGAGGCAGGAACTAACATGATGGAGGAACAGCAAGAGGACAGGTATGGCTAGAGTAGAATGAGAGAAGAAAAGACGAGGGCCATATCATGCAGAACCTTGAAATCTACCAGGAAAACTTTAGATTTCATTCTGGGAGAGGTTGGAAGCCACTAGAGGGTTTTAAACAGGAAAGTGGCATAATCTAGAAAGATGCCTTGGGATGCTGTCAAGGGAATGGATCACGGTGGAGTGAGAGAGAAATCACGGAAACCAAAGAGAAGGCTGATGCAATCATTCATGCAAGAGAGGCTAGCAGCCTGGACAGGGCAGTGATGGCTGAGGAAATGAAAAGTGGTTGGAGCCTTGGAGAAGTGATTAAAACAACAACAAAACCAAAACCTTGGCCTCTCAGAGCTGGTGAGAGCTTTAGTGATCCTAAGACAAGGCAGGAACTTTGGAGTCTGTCAGTTCTGGGTTTGAAGCCCAGCTCCACACATTCTGGCTGAGAATCTTTGGGCAGGTTGCTACACCTCGCTGAGACTTGGTTTCCCCATTTATAAACTGGGTGTGATAAAAGAGCTTGCTTCCAAGGGTGTTTTGAGGACTCAGTGACATGTAAATAAGATGCAGAACACAAGGTTTGGCACTTAATAGAAAGTAAAGTTAGCTATGACTCAATTCCCCACATTTATTGATAGAGAAACTGAGGCCAGCTGGCTTAGAGGCAAACAGAGGACTGGCAGTGGTAGGGAGAAAAGAAAGCACTATTACAGGGTTCCTCAAGTCATATACCTCAGGTCCAGACAGAAAGATGGTTGAGTAGGCAAGGAACATAAAAATTCATGTGACCCTCTCTGGCCATCTTGTTTTTCTACTGTCAAAAGATATGTGAAATTAGAAATATTTCTCTAAGATCAATCAACACAAGTATAGTAAGTAGCAACTGACATTCAGCTGCAATATCAGGGAGACCTTAGGAAAAAACAGGGACCATGGCATCTGGAAAGCATGTGCCCATTGAAAGGGGCTGGCTAGCTCACCTCCACCTGACTGCTGTCTCCCTATGCCAGACATCCTTATATTTAACAGAAGTCAGAATCCAGATTTTTATATGAAATCTCCCATTTTTTAAAAGATTCTGTTTTTGGGGCGCCTGGATGGCTCAGTCGTTAGGCATCTGCCTTCGGCGCGGGTCATGATCCCAGGGTCCTGGGATCGAGCCCCGCCTTGGGCTCCCTGCTCCGTGGGAAGCCTGCTTCTCCCTCTCTCACTCCCCCTGCTTGTGTTCCCTCTCTCACTGTGTCTCTCTCTGTCAAATAAATAAATAAAATCTTTTAAAAATAAATAAATAAATAAATAAATAAATAAATAAATAAAATAAAAGACTCTATTTTTAAGTTATCTCTACACCCAATGTGGGGCTCAAACTTACAACTCCAAGATCAAGAGTCGCACGCTCCACCAACTGAGCCAGCCAGGCATCCTGAAATCTCCCAATTTTTTTTCAACTTGTTTTTTTTTTTTTCCTTAAGTAGGCTCCACGCCCAGCATGGAGCCCACCATAGGACTTGAACTAATGACCCTGAGATCAAGACCTGAACTGAAATCAAGTTGTAAGCTTAACTGACTGAGCCACCCAGGTGCCCCCCAAATCTCCCAATTTTTACTTACATTTTCTTATTGCTTCTGGAGTATAGGAACAGCATTTTTTTTAATTCATAGAACCTAGTAAAGTTTTGTATATTGATCTTGCTATTATTTCAGCATTCTTGCCATTATTTCACCCTTTCTGATCCTTATACTGTTTCTTTTTCTTGCCTTATTGCTTTGGCTAGGCCTCCAACATAAAATGGGAATCATGATAGCAGGCATCCTTTTCTTGTTCCTGACACAGAGGGAATATATCTCACTTTTCACCATTGTGGTAGGTTTTTAATTTCCCTATTTTTAAATGTTGGCTTTTTCTTTTTTTCTCATTGTGAAACCTAAACAAAGTCTGTCTATAGGCTGCATTCAACCCATGGGCTGCCAATCTGTGATCTCTGCTTTACCCGAATTCTCTCTCTGAATTGTGATAACCTTATTGGATAGGTACTATTATTCTCCCCAACTTGACATATGAACACACTGAAGTTCAGAGAGGTGAAGTGACTTGCCATAGCCACATACCCGGGAAGGGACAGAACCAGGATTCAAAACTAGCTCTCCTCAGTGTCAAAATCTGTGGTACCCTGGAGGCTCAGGGCAGCCCCACTTTACATTTCATCCTCTCCAGCATCTTGTGGGGGGGGGGACTATAGGGGACTCTGGGTTCCTGGAGCAGCTCTGTCATCAACTTTGAGTGACCCTTGACCAAGGTCCTTCCCCTTTCTGGGCCTGTCTTCCCATCTGTCAACCTAGGAGGGATGTAGTTATGGGAACCCCAATATGGTCCCAGCTTCCTTCCCTGCAGTCTAACTATGTATCTATCAAATTTAGGCCTTGATATGTTCCTTGTTCTGTGGCCTGGCTCCACCACTTACTGCTGTGTGATTTGGGGCTACTTAACCTCACTGTGCCTTTTGCCTCATCTCAGCTGTAAGATGGAATTAAAAGTAGCACCTACCTCAAAGTGCTTAGGACATGCCAGGCATGGTGTAAGTGCCTAGTAAACATGAGTCCTCATGAGTATTGATAAATGTACATGCATGTGTACATTGGCAGGAAGAGACAGAAATATAACTTAAATAGTTTTATTAGGATGGAAACTTTTTAACATTTTCTTTAATGTCATAATTTTTAAAAATGTTTAATGACTCCTCCATTTTGTAGAGAATAAAGTCCAAATTCCTTAACCCAACATCCAAGGATATCTCTGATTCACCATCAACTTATATTTCAATACAGCAAAATGGCTAACAGCACATAGACGCAGGCCACTCCAGCCGGAATCCCAGCTCTGTGACTTACTAACTGTGTGAGCTTGGGCAAGGAGCTCTGCCTCTTTGCACCTGTTTCCTCATCTGTAAAATAAGAAAATTAACAATTCTCACCTGATGGGGCTGAGGTGCTATGTGCAGTGTCCCATCATGTGGAAGCTTGAAACATATTAGCGATTGTGATGATCTAACCACTACCCTCAGATCTCTGGTCATGCTGGATCATTCACCAGCCCCAGAACTGTCATACCTTGAAGGCTTTGCTCATGGTTTGCAATCCCTGACATGCCTTTCCCTATTTATACATCCATCAAAACATTCTGTGTCAAGGACCAGCTCAAATGCGACCTCCCCTGAAGAGACTTTCTGTCCTCACCACTTCCTTGAAGTGGCCTCTGGCCTTGAAGGCTAGGTGCACCTAACAGCTCTCACCGCCTCAGCCATGTACCACTTCCTCATTGGTCCTTCCTCCTGCATCATACCCTTCCTGAGGGGAAGTTGGGCTTGCTTTGAGCTCCAGCCCAGAGCCCAACCACAGATATCTGAGGGACATGCCAGCCTTCAAGGGAACATATCAAACTGAGTCCAACAGCTCTGCTGCATCCTGCCCTGTCCCTTCTCGAGCCTCAGTTTCCTCTCCTATCACTGAGGCAGTGTGGCTGTGAATAGAAATGAGGAAACACTGGCCAAGGCCCCTTTTCTCTTCCCTGCCTCCTAATAAGCCTGGTTTGCTTCTCCTCTGGGCTAGTTGGGGAGTGGGGACAGAGTGCTGGCAGTGGGGGCAACTACGGATTCTAGAGACCTGCTTGAGATGGACCTCTGATGCCAAAGGATTTGGGGCAAGGCCCAGGATCCTGCACTTTCAAAAGTGAGTATAGACCCTTTCCATGGCCATGTTCTGAAATATGGGAGCACCAAAACTCTCATAGCTGATGGAGCAGCACAGCTGTGTGCAAGGGGCCATGGGACCTCTCAGTCCCCCAACACTTTGGAGGGAGTGCTGTCACCTAGGGGCAAAGAAAGAAACTGCCAAGGCTCCGGCCTGAGCCATTGGACACACATTTAGATAAAAACATTTATTGAGTACTTTCCAAGTGCCGAGCACTATGCCAAGTCCTTTGCACATTTCGCCATATTGGATCCCCATGACAGCCCTATGAGGTCGAAATGTCATATGTCCCATTGTACAGATGAGAAACGTACAGATGAGAGCTCAGAGAAGTAAAGTGACATACCCAAGGTCACACAGCAAGTGCGTAGCAGTGCTTAGATTTGAAGCCAAATCTGAGTGATAGCTGCACTCCAGCTGTGACACGAGTGCCGCCTAAATGCCTACATCACAGAGTCATCTGTGGAAACCATGTGGAACTGTATATGAAAAGGTCCAGCAGATAAGGGCTCTACCCATTTCAGGCCCCCAGAAAAGCAGCTTGACCAGAGGTCACACCAAGACAGCCCGGAGGAGGGGTGGGCAGGACTACCCTGTCTTCTCTCTGAGGTGGGCTGACACCAGCCTGGACCAGCCAGACCCTGGGCTGCTGGCGTGGCCAGCTCTCTTATCTCCAGTGCCCCTACCTGGAAGCTGTAGGCAGCCCTGCCTCACATTCCAGAATGCTGCAGGGCTAGCCAGCAGAATAGGAGCCACAGCAGGCTGGCCACAGCCAGGGTTCATAGGACACTCCAGAAGGATTTTGGCCAATGGCTCACTTCCATTGGGAAGGACCTCTTGTTGGCCCCTGAGGCCTGGACCCACAGGTGAGCATCAGGCCAGGCTCTGGAAGCAAACACCCTGGGTCCATCACTCGGAGGCCTGGATGTAGACGGGCACAGCAAGCATGGCACATGGGCCCTCGGCCCCTGCCTGCAGCTCTGCCAGTGCCAGGTTGGAGCCCAGGCTCTCTGCATGCCCGGGCACTACCAGCTCCGGTTCGCCCCCCACCGTGCCACCCACCACGATGGACAGCACTGCATCTGGCTCCGAGAAGGGCGGCTTGCCTGGGGCGGCCTCGGGCACCGGCCCAGCCCCAGTGTCCTTCAGCTCCTCCAGCCCCAGCGGGTCCGGCAGGGGGGTCACCACCTTGCGCCCGCCACCACTGCCGCTGCGGGGTGCTGCCCTCCTCCGGGAGGGCCGCCGGGCTTGCAGGTCCTTATCCTTTTGGGGGCCAAGGCGGCAGCGGTGATCCTTGAGGTATTTGTGTCGGGAAAAGCCCTTGGCACAGCCGGCGCAGCGGAACTTGTAGTTGCCCGTGTGGGCACGCTGGTGCTCCGCGAGGTGGGCACGGCGGCTGAAGGACTTGCTGCACAGGGCGCACTTGTGGAGCTTCATGCCTGGAGCGAGGGGAAGTCCATGAGAGGCACCCCGACCCCTTACTCTGCAACCATGCCTCTGCGCTCAGGATAAAACCCAGTCTCTCGGCTTGGCCTCTGACCATGTGTGCAATCTGGGCTCTGCTCCTGCCAGTCTCATCTCCCACCTTCGCCCAGCCACGCACGCCCAGCCAGCCACACCTGCTCTCCTCAGGCCACCGAGCTGGCTCCTGCCACTGGGCCTTTGCACTTGCTGTTTCCCCTCTGCCTAGACTAGCATGTTCAGCCCCGAAACTTTGGCTAACTTAGCCAGGTCACCATCATCTCTCTCCTCTCTGGTCTGTCTGCCTCACCATTGCCCCCTCAGACCATCCCTACAGGGCAGCTAGAGATGGCTTCATGAAATATACAGAGGATCCTGACATTCTCTGCTCTGAACCCTCCAGAGATTCCCTAAGTTTCCCGCAAAGCCCTGTGCAGTCTGACCACCCCCTTCACTTCTCAGCCCCATTCCCTCCTTCCCTGCACTTGCTCTATGAGCTCCACCCTCCCACTCACCTTTCTTTGTCTTAAACACCCTCCAGTCTCTTCCCTGCCTCAAGACTTTGCACTTGCTCCCTCCTTCTGGAAGCTATTTCCTGGCTCTTCTTATCCCTCAGGACAGGTCTCATGTTACCTACTCTAGGAGGCCCCCCTTGATACCTGCCTCATATTTTTCTCTGTCCCATCACTCTGTTTATTCTTGTCTTTGCACTCTGCATACCCCACAGTAATATACTTGTTTGCTGTTCATTTTCAATCTCTGCCACTAAATGCTAAGCTTCCCCAGGAAGGCAGGGTGGGCTCTGCCCATCTGATTCCCCCAGAGTCTGACATGTGATAGGTTCTCAACAGTCACTCACTGGTGCCTCCATGTCTACCATGAAGTCAACTCCAGCCCACACTCAGCCTGAGCCATGCTCCCCTCACCCTCCCTGGGATGAAGGCTCAGAGAAGGGCAGTGACTTGCATGAGGCAATGCAGCAGGACAGTGGTAGTGCTAAGAATCAAACTCGGGCCCTCTGTCTTCAAGTCCTCAACTCTCTACTCTCCCAGTTTTCAAACTTCCTTTAGCCACTGAATCCTTTCTGTAAACCCGTGGTTTTTAACCAGGGGCAATTTCACCCTCCAGGAGACTTTTGGCTTGTCCTCTGGAGACATCTGTGGTTGTGTCCTAACTGTGGGGAAGATGCCACTGACATCCAGAGGGTAGAGACCAGAGATATTGTAAAACATCCTACAATGCACAGGGCGGCCCCCATGACAAAGCATCAGCTACTGCAAAATATCAAGAGTTCCAAGAAACTGTGTTCTAGACCAAATGGTATGTGGAAAGCCAGCCAAGCTGCTCTGGGGACAGAGAAGTGCCATGGAGCCCCTGGGAAACTGAGGAGTCGGGTGGAGACCCTTGCTCCATGCACCAGCTGCCCTGCTCTGCTGAGGGTACCAAGGGACCTTCCTGGCCGTGTCCTGGACCCAGTTAGAATCTGATTGCCCTCCATGCCTGATCCACATCTCTATCACACTGGGCACCTCTCTGATTTACAGCTATCTCCTCGCAGGTCGGCTTCCCTCTCAGCCTGAGGGACTGTATCTGACTCACCTCTATAGGACCGTGAGGACCCTAACGCAGACCTGGCTCATGGCTCACATGAGCACAAGTCTGTTGGCTGGAATATACCAGGCAGTGATAATAAGCCTCATGGGATGTGTCTGTTCTTTCTAGGCGGCCTGCCCCAGGGATTCAGACCCTCCTGGTAGGTCCAGCAGTCACTTACCGGAGTGGGAGAGGATATGAGCCTTCAGCTTGTCTGGCCGGTTGAACTCTTTACTGCAGCCCGTGTGTGTCCTAGAACCCAAAACCACTGGTTGGGGGAGCTCACCAGACTTGGACTCTCTTGCTGGTCTCTGTGCTAGGCCTGGGCGTGAGGGACTCCCTGTCTATCCCAAAGGCCAGGCAAGGAAGCGGGGTGGGGAGTGAGGCAGGCAGGCAAGGCCCACGACGAGATAAAAGGAGAGAGGGCCTTCAGAACCTCAGCCCTGACAATTTTCTGTCCCACTGCTGGGTAAATCTGCCCCTCCCTCTCATGCCAGTCTCTACTCACGAGAAGGGGCATTTATATTTCTTGAATGGCTCATGGATCAACATATGTCTCTTCAGTTTGTCTTTACGGTTGAATGCAGACTCGCACACTGAGCATTTGTAGGGCTTCTCACCTGTAGGAGGAGACACAGAGGGACCAAGAGTCCCATGAGATGGAGTCTGAATATGGGCTATACTAGAGGACAGCAGCCCCTCTAGGGAAGTGGCCTGGGAGAAAACAGCCTCTCCCATTCCTCAATTTGTTTTTCCAAGAAGAGGGGGCTATTTCAAATAGGGCAGTCAGGAAAGGCCTTTCTGATGAGGCAAGAGGGGTGACCTAAGGTGGTAGGGGAGAGAGCCATGATGGAAACTGGAGTGAGGTACCAGGAAGAAGGAAAAGTGGGGAGTGGGTGGTATGTCTGAAGAGCAGCGGGGAGGCCAGTGTGGTTGCAAGAGAGTGGGGAAGGGAGAATGAGGCAGAAGGGGAGGTCAGCGAGGCAGCTGGGCCCAACAGGAAAGGCCTGGAAGGCCTAGGTTTTTACTCGGAGCAAGATGAGAAGCCACCAGAGGGGTTGAGTGGACCGGGGAGAGAGCTGACTTAAGAGTATCCCGGGCGCCTGGGTGGCTCAGTCGTTCAGCGTCTGCCTTCGGCTCGGGTCGCGATCCCAGGGTCCTGGGATCGAGCCCCGCATCGGGCTCCCTGCTCTGTGGAAGCCTGCTTCTCCCTCTCCCACTCCCCCTGCTTGTGTTCCCTCTCTCGCTGTGTCTCTCTCTGTCAAATAAGTAAATAAAATATTAAAAAAAAAAAAAAAAAGAGGGCCACGGGCTCCCTCTAGCTGCAGGCAGAGAACAGACAGGGGGGGTGGGGGTGGGGGTGGAGGTGCGGGAAGTGGCCAAGTTCAGACCATGTTAGGAAAGCGGAATCGGCAGCCTTTGCCAGTGGGCTGACTGTGGGGTGTGAGGGGAAGGGAGTCAAGGACGAATCTAAGGCGGGGCTGAGGGACGGATGAATGGTTGTGGCATTTACTGAAATGGGGTCCACCACAGGGGAGAGGGGAATTACACCTCATCTAATGGAATTGTTACCACAAACTACAAGGTAAGTACTAGATGAGAAAACTGAAGGTCATGGTCTGCACCTAGTGAGCTAAGATGCCAGCCCAGCAGTGTGATGCACGGTCCACCTGAGTCGCCCCGCATCGGCTGCAGCAGACCCTGGTGGGGACCAGGAGCCCGAGAAGAGCAGCTCTCACCTGACAGGGGCCAGGGGCCAGGGGTCACAACCTGCCCTGTGGAAAAGGGCTGTTACTGGGCTGTTTTTGATTTCCTGCCATTATTTCCTCCCTGTTCTCCCTCTGGAATGAATAAAGTACTTTTGAAAAATGCCAACCCAGGGATTAAGGAAATTCTGGTCCTTAAAATGGAATGCTCTGCAGTCATTAAAAAGATTAGAGTCCATCTGTGTTTCCTGATCTGGAAAGACGCTGCTGGTCATACTGCTAGTGGGGAAAGAAAACTGTAGAACAGCTTAAGACAGTCCCCCTTTTGTTAGAAAAAACACAATCCTCATATTCCAAAACAGCCCTAGCCATAGGTAGTTGTATATACATAGAAGATGATGCAGGGAGAAAGTTGAGGGAGGGTACATACCAAACTGTCAGGAGCAATTAGGATTTGAAGGGGGAACTTAAAGTTTAATCTTATGCACTTCTATGCTGCTTCCATTTTTTTTAATTTTATTTATTTATTTGAGAGAGAGAATGAGAGATAGAGAACACAAGAGGGAAGAGGGTCAGAGGGAGAAGCAGACTCCCTGCTGAGCAGGGAGCCCGATGTGGGACTCGATCCCGGGACTCCAGGATCATGACCTGAGCCAAAGGCAGTCGCTTAACCAACTGAGCCACTCAGGTGCCCATGCTGCTTCCAGTTTTTAAATAAGCATGTATTACTTTTGAATAATTATTTTTTTAAAACTATAAAGAGGGGGCGCCAGGGTGGCTCAGTTGGTTAAGCAACTGCCTTTGGCTCAGGTCATGATCCCAGAGTCCTGGGATCGAGTCCTACATCGGGCTCCCAGCTCGGCGGGGAGCCTGCTTCTCCCTCTGACCCTCTCCCCTCTCATGCTGTTCCTCTCTCTCTCTCTCTCTCAAATAAATAGAATCTTAAAAAAAAACTATAAAGAGAGTAATTTGGTAATATCTATCAAAATTACCAAGGCGTATACTTTTTTCTTCTTTTATTATGGTAAAATATACATAAAATTTACCATTTTAACCATCTTTAAGGCTACATTTCAGTGGTATTAGGTACATTTGCATTGTTGTACAATCACCACCACCATCCATCTCCAGAACTTTGGCATCATCCCAAACAGAAAGTACTATACTGCATATACATTCGAACCTAGTATTTCCACTGAGAGAAATATGCAACTACAGATATATGCCCAAAAGCATGCCGAGGGGACCCACATAGCATTTTGCATGTAAACTAACAGCTGAAAAATAATCTAAGTATCCATCCATAGGAACTGGTTAAATAAAAGATAGTAAATACAGAGGAATTCTATGCAGCTGAGAAAAAGAAGGTACTGCTAGGAACATCTTCAAGGTATACTGATGAGTGAAGAAAAAAGGTACATAATAGAGTTATAGTATGTGTTCCACTGTGTGAATGTAAGCAAGCGTGTTTTACAGATATAAAGTTAAACCAGAAAAACTCAGACTAGGACCACTAGCAGCAGTTATCTTCGGGGAGGGGAATTGGGGGTATTTTTCGAACTGCAAGTCACAACCTGTTGGTGGTTATTTTAACAACTAAAATGGAACAGAATAGAAAATATTGTTTTATGAAATTTCTGTTTCAGTATATGCTCTGTATATAAATGTGATTCTTGGGTTGCAGTATAAAATATGTTTTTTACCACAGGTCATAGTAAAAAAAAATTTTTTTTTGGATTATCCATTTGAGGTGAGGGGATGGGATTATTTTTCATATTTGCTTTTTATTTTCTTTTTTTTCATATTTGCTTTTGTAATGTCAAGGATTTTCTACTCAGGTTTTTGCAATCTTTGGATCCTTTTAAGTGAAAAAAAAGTTTTTAGCTAATAATCTTTTTTTTTTGAGATTTTATTTATTTAAGAGAGGGCGAGTGCACAGAGGGAGAGGGAGAGGGAGAAGCAGACTCCCCACTGAGCAGAGAGCCCAACATGGGACTCTATCCCAGGACCCTGAGATCATGACCTGACCTGAAGGCAGACGCTTAACTGACTGAGCCACCCAGGCGCCCCTTAAGTAATAATCTTTTAAAGATTAAAAGAAAATAAAATGTCAATGTGTCCCAATTGGGGAACCAAGGGGAGGGGCGTTCTGTCCAGGTCTGGGTGGTAACTTTGCAATGAGAACTGCACCTCCAGCCCTAGGGCGTACATCTCTACTCTAGTATTGGCAGAAACTCCTTGTTCACTTGAGAGGGCAGGTTGGCAGGGGGCCAGAAAGGAGATGGGGGAATCGATGAAGAAAGAGTGGGGGTGGAACTGGATGGGGAAGGAGAAGAGAGCTAGAGAAAGACAGGGGCAAAGGTCGGAAAGGGATAGGAAGGGGAAGAGAGAGGGAGTTGGGGGAGCGAGTGAGGGGTCTGGGCAGGGGTTGACGGGGGACAGCGTACCCACCCGAGTGGATGTGAGCATGCAGTTTGAGGTAGTGCTCTCGCCGGAAGAACTTCTTGCACACTTGGCACTTGAACCTGCCACCACTGCCGTGCGTGGGCAGATGACGCCGCAGGTAGCGCTCGCAAGGAAACACCTGGCAGAAGAGAGGAGCTGGCTTAGGCCTGACTCACTAGCCCTCACCACCCTCTGAGCTTAAGGGGCCCCTCATTTCCCACACTTGCAGAAACAATTTCCTTTCTGGCCACCAGGGATCAGGGCCCAGCGTCAGGCTCCGCCCTTAGAACCTCACGGCTCCCACAACTCACCCATAACGCATGCTCTGAGCTCCTGCCAGGCTGCTTTTTCTACCCAGAAGGCCTTTCTCTCTTAGCCTGACAAATTCCCACTTGGCCATCGAGGCCCAGCTCAGGTGTCACTGCTTCTGTGAGGCCCTCTCTGACTCTCTAACACCAAACAAGGCAACACAAACTCTGCCCTTGAATGTCCGTATATGTTTGGTTTGCTTGTTTATTATTTAAGTAAACTCTACGCCCAACGTGGGGTTCGAACTCACGATGCCGAGATCAAGAGTCACATGCTCTACCACCTGAGCCGGCCAGGTGCCCCTATTCATCTACGTTTTTAAAGTCACCATCTAACCCACTGAATTATATAACCTGTTGCTTATACGAAATCTCTATGAGGGCAAAGGAGCTTTCATTCACCAGCACAGGGCCTGGGTCCAAGGACTTACATGCAAAAGAATGAACGACAAAATGAATACAGAACTGAAGAACTGAATGAAAAGGTAAAAAAGAGCCAGGAAACATGGAAGCTGAAATCTCCTTCCTCTCTGGCCTTAAGAAGAGCATTCATTCATTTTTTCATTCATTTGTTACAAAGAAGTAGTTAGGGTTACAGACCCAACTACTTAGTAGCCCCACCATGTCCTAGCTGGGTGATCTTGCTGCACCTCGATTTCCCCATCTGTAAAATGGGAACAGTAATGATATGCTTTCTAGAATTAAATGACTCAATTCAGATAAAATGCTGCGAACAGCATCTGGCACGTGGTTCTTGTTCAATTCATGATACCTTTTATTTGGAACACAAATTCCAAAGCCCCAAATTAGGCTATCTACATAATTAGAAACATCTACCATGAGGCTGAAGTGAAACCAGGGCTGTCCTGGAAAATCTGCCATGTGAGGCTGTGAGAAAATGAGTAGAATAAAGAAACCAGTTAAACACACCAGGGGGATGCAATGAGCAAAATCCAGAATTCAGGAAACTCCACAGTATCAATGGCCCAGTTTCTTCAACAAATAAATTAAAAGGGGAAAAAAAAAAAAGAAGCACTGGTGGGAACCTGTTGATGAACAGAAACTTTGGTTGTATAAACCAACTGGAGTGTGTGGACCTGATTCAAACAAATAAACCTGACAAAAATTATGATGTTTCTGAGACAATTAGAACATGGCCTGGATATCTGATGATATTGAAGGACAGCCTTTAGCGATGGCTTTCAGATTCATTGAAAAGAACCCATAACAAGAAGGATAATAACAGGTCAGGAAGCTGGAGGCCACTGTTCAGATGCTGGGCCTGGGCCCAGGAGAGGCCTCACCCCCTATCGGCGCAGCCTGGCCTGGCCTGGCCCAGCAGCAGCCGCAGGATGGACACGTGTGCTACCTAGTGGCTCAGATGGCAGGGCTCTTACTCTTCAAAGGTGAAGCATCATCTATGGAGACAAGCCCAGGAGAGTGTGAGGTGTCTGCTCTACCACCTCTCACCCTCTATGGTTGCCCCAGCCGGGAAAGGGCAGAGGTACCCACCTTCTGGCAGTGAGGGCAGGGGAAGTTGTGAGTGGCGGTCTGCAGGTGGTGCTCCAGGGCCTCGGGGGTAGAGTATTTGTTGACACATTTGACACACCTATATGGGAAGGAGCAGGAGAGGTGACAGAGCAGTGTGAGGAGGCTGGACTGGCCCAGCCATTCTCCTCCCCCAGGGCCAACACTGGGAGGCAAAATTCTATGTTTAATTCATTCTTTTCCTTTAAAAAAAATTTTTTTTTTTAAAGTAGGCTCCACACGCAATGTGGGACTTGAACTCATGACCCTGAGATCAAAAGTCACATGCTCTACTGATTGAGCCAGCCCAGTGCCCCAGAGAGAGTCTTTGATAAAAAAAAAAAAAAAAGAAAGAAAGAAAAGAAAATCAGACCATGTCACATCCTTGCTTAAAAGTCCCCACCTTGGCCTACAAGGCTCTAGTGGCTTGACCACTCCTACCTCTCAGACTTCATCTTTCTCCATGGCCCACCCCACTCTGCTCCAGCCACCTTGGCCTCCTTAATATACCTTGAACACACCAAACTCTCCTACCTCAGGGCCTTTGTACCTGCTGTTCCTGCTACCTGGAACACTCTTCCCCAAATATTCCCTTGCGCAGCACTTTCTTATCCTTCAGGTGTCACCTCCTTAGAGATATCTTCCTTGAGCACCTTGTCTCAAGTTGTCCCCTATGGCCCACCCCTGGGCACTCCCTACCACACCACCCAGTTTTGTTTTCTTCTTAGCACTTACTATCTATAATTATTATTTTTCTATTTGCTTACTTGATTTGATCTGTCTCTTTCACCAGCAATTGGGCTCTGGAGGCAGGGACCATATCTGTCCTGTTCATAACCTGATTTGAGCACCAGTGACGATTTGTTATGTGAAAGAATCAGATAGGCAAGGATCCAGGCCTGGCACCTTCTTATTTCTGACCCTCAGTTTCCTCATCCACAAAATGGGGTAGGAATCCCAAATGGACATGCCCCTTGTTCATTCTTAAGATTGTCACAAGAGTCAAAGGACACAAGTGTGCCAAACAGCTCATAAATCCCAAAGCATTATAAACGGGGTCTCCACTCTTAACATCACTGGCTGACAAGCCTTCAAACAGTAGTTTCAGGTTACAAGCCACTCTGAAGAAAAGATCCCTCCAGTCTCCCGACCATAAAAACATTTGCTAGCAAATGGACCCATTTATGATGAGGTTCCAGTGAGGAATGCCACAGGTAGGTGGGCAATTCATGCCAAAAATAGAAACATGGGCCCTGACATCTGTACACCACGGCCACCATGGGAAACGCACAGGCAGCCTGCACCTGTGGTAGGCCCAGCAGAAGCCCCTCAGACCACACTCTGAAAACCACAGGCTAAATGCCTCCAGATGACAAGAAAGAAAGAGCAGGTCAGGTGGGAGTGGAGCTAGCGGGGGGACAGAGACCTTGCAAGCTGGTGAGGTAGGAGAGGGCAAGGACTCCACAGGCTTCAGCAGTGAGGAGACACCAATTTCTGCAGGAGTAGCTTAGCCAGAACCATTAAAATTAAAACTTCCTGCCAGAAATGCCACCCTAACTAAGTCACCCAAGGTAACGTCCTCAGCATGGGGGCCAACCAATGTCATGTGCCTGCCGATATGACGTGCTGAGGACAGAGCGTTACTTTGTGATATTTCCTGCCAAGAGTGCCAATCCTGCATCTAACCTGAGGTCAAATCACACAAACCCAAACTGAGAACATTCTACAAAATAACCGGCCTATACTCTTCAAAAACACCATGGTCATGAAAGACAAAGACCGAATGAGCAGCTGTTCCAGCTTAAAGGGAATAAAGAGACACAATCTAAAGCAACCTGTGATCCTGGCTTGGATCCCAGGCCAGAAAAAAAAATTTACTTTGTCTATAAAGGCTGTTATTGAAGCAACTGGAAATTTCTGATAAGGTCTGCAGATTAGGAAACAGAACTGTATTGATTTAACTTTCTGATTTTGATAACTACACAGTGCTTCTGTAAGAGGTTGTCCTTATTTCCAAAAACTATAAAGACAAAGGGTAAAAGAGCATCACATCAGCAAATTATCTTCAAATAGCTCAGAATATAATAAAGCAAATGTGGTGAAAAGTTAACATTTGGAAAATCTAGGTGAAGGATATATATGGGAATCCTTTGTACTACTCTTATGTTTCTTCTGGAAGTCTGAAATTACATCAAAATAAGTTCCTGAAAGTGACTGAGGTATGGGGAAGGGGCTTGGGGTAGGCGGGAAATTCCTTCTCACTCATGCCCTTCTTTAATAATTAAATATTGTACTGTATACACATAATTATTTTTTGAAGTAGGTAATCAATCTTTTTTTTCTTGACTTTTTTTATTGTTATGTTAATCACCATACATTACATCATTAGTTTTTGATGTAGTATTCCATGATTCATTGTTTGTGCATAACACCCAGTGCTCGGTAATCAATCTTTTTAAAAGCCCTCATTGATTTAAAATTTTTATTATTGCTTTTTTTTTTTTTTAGTAATCTCTACACCCAATGTGGGGCTCGAACTCACAACCCTGAGATCAAGAGTTGCACGCTTTTCTGACTGAGCCAGCCAGATGCTCCTCCCGCACTGATCTCTGACCTGCAAAATCACTTCTAGGAGCTTATTTATAAGTGAGCAAAGATGTATGTCCAAAGTTGTTCTCTGTAGTGTTGTATGTAATAATGAGAAACTGGAAATAAGCTGACTATCCCGCAATCAAGGACCAGTTACATAAATGTGACACGTATACTGGAATGGTAAGCAGCCACTGAAAAGGCTGGGGCAGGTCTGTTTGTACTGAGACGCAGAGATGTCCATATTACAGTTGCAGGTGATAACGCACACCACGTGTACAGAGTGATCCCATTAAGTTTCAGTCAGTTTGTTGGAAGTTGTGGGACATGGAGATGGCACGATGAATTTTCACCAGTCAGTAACTGTGTTTGGGATGGCCTGGTTCCAGTGTAGCCTGTGGTTATATCTATAAACATGCTTATTATGGACATAGACCAAATAACATGTACCAAGAAGTTAATAGGGATTATTTTTTGCTTGGCAGGGTTTTGGTTTTTGTGTGATTTAAAAAAAATTTTTTTCTCAGGTCCACTGCCGGGGTGGCTCAGTCGGTTAAGTGTCTGCCTTCGGCTCAGGTCATGATCCCAGGGTCCTGGGATCGAGCCCCGCATCGGGCTCCCTGCTCAGCTGGGAGTCTGTTCCTCCCTCTCCCTCTGCATCCTTCACCACTCATGCTCTCTCTCGCTCGCTCTATCAAATAAATAAAATCTTTAAAAAATATGTTTTTCTCTGCATTGAACTTAGGAACTTTTATAATTAGGAAAAAATCAATAAATCTTATTTTTAAAAGGAAAAAGTAAATATATAGCATATATAGAGCGGCAAGCATAAAATTCACTTGAAGGGTTTGGGGAGGCAGCATAGACAGACCAAGGCAATGTGGTCCAAAGGAAGCAGAGCAGATAGACCAATGGGGCCTAGACACCTGGAAATAGGATGAAGCCACTATACCTGCTCAAACATTACTGTGAGAGAGAAATAAATTCTCACTCATTTATGCTACTATTATTTGGAGCCTCTATTGCATGCAGCCAAACCTATATCTAAATTGTACAAATAATAACTGCAGCAATAACATTTATTGAGCACCTATGATGTTCCAGGTATCATGTTCAAGAGCCTCATAGTTGTCTTACCTGATCCTCATAAATAATCCAATACGGTAGGCACTATAGTTATCCCCATTTCAAAGATGTGGACACTGAGGCTCAGAGTGGCCAAATACCCTGCCAAGGTCATCTCCTGGGCTTGTAGTCAAGCTGGGATTTGAGCACAGGCAGGTGGCTCCTTATCATTACTCAAGATACCATTCCACCCTTGGGTCATCCAGATGGTGGCCTGCCTCCTCGGGTCTTACCTTTAGGCCAGGAGATCCGATGGCTACAAAGGGTTACTGGCACTGTAACCCTCACATGAGAACCCAGGAGAAGAGACTGACTGTAGACACAGGGCCATCAGCACTGGGCTCAACCCCTAGCCTACAAATTCCAAGACCAGAGGTGGGAGGCTTCCAAGGTTCCAGACAAGAATTTGAATCTCAGCTCTGTGCTGACACTGTTACTGACGAGGGCACTTCTCCTCTCTGAACCTCAGTGTCCTCATCTTCAAAATGGGGAGAACGTCACGGTCATGGACTGAACCGTGTCCCTCCAGACTGTGGAGGTGCTGACCCTCAATGTGATGGTATTTACAGATTTACAGATGGGACCTTTGGTAGGGGTGTGTGTGTATATGATTAGGTTTAGATGAAATCATGAGGGTGGGGTCCTCATGATGACAAAGCACCCTTCTAAAAAGAGATCATGTGTCTGTGGCATTTTGTTATAGCTGGAGCTAATACAAGTACCTACCTCCCAGGATTGCAGGGATCAATGTCCCTAAGTCAGAGCTTGGCACATAGTAGGTGCTCCCTTCCTTTTACTTGGCATCTCACCCCAGAAAGCCACATAGTCTCAGGAACTCACAAATAATCCACAAATCCATAAGGCAAAAGCAAAAAAAAAATGCCCCCTGAGTACAAATGGGAATTATCCATCACTAACCAGAAATTTCCACCCCTTGACTGGCCAAAGTTTTGCCTGGTTTTTCTGCCTCTCTGGCTCCACTTCCCAATCTCCTCCAGGACAAGCTGCCCTAGGCCCATCTAAGTCCCAGTCCCCCTGCCAATTTCTCAAAGCTTTTGTGATTTCTACAGGCCCTTCTTACCCTCACCCTGGCCCTACTTTCTCCTCTAGGCCACATCTAAACATCCTCTCCCACTTCCACTCTACACAATGATCATTCTAAACCACTTGCTATTTCATTTTATTTCTCTACGCTTGCTGTTCCTTCTGCTAGGAATGCACTCTACCCTACCTAGTTGGTCAACTCCTATTCATCCTTCAAAACCCAGTTCAGATATCACTGCTTCAGGGACACCTTCCCTGCCCTACGTCCCACTGTGGTACTTATATACCTTTTATCTATGTATATATTAGCATTTTATCACAGTACCTGTAAGCGTATTTACACACTTGTCTCCCTAAGAAGCCTGTGCATTCTAAACTCAGGGTCTGTTGTTACTTATCTCTGAAGCCCAGAAGCGTCACCCAGGAGTTACATCTCATTAACAGAGGTTATTGGAGAAATCCCTACCGACACAAGTTTGTACAGAGAAGCAAAACCATTCCAACACGAAAATACTCACTAAGAACTGGGAGAAGTCTCCTGACAAATACCCTTCCTTGCTTATCACTAATACCTATCCCCACGCACTATGTGCTAGGCTTTGTGAGGCAGCTGCTCCAGACGACTGGGTGAATGCACAGCAAAATGGCTGCAGGGCAAAAATGTGGGATTTCACAGTTATCAAAGTGATACTGGGCACCTGCAGATAACCCATCGACTAAGGAAGGTATGGAAGGGGGACCAGGAAACAACCAAGTTAAGAGAAACTCAATGAGGATTGGTCACGGGACTGATAGCTCAATGAGAACAATTTGAAGACTCAAGGATTAAAAGCCTGTGACAAAACTGAGGGAGCCTTTTTTCATTTCTGCCAAAGGGATGCTCTCTATGACTACAATGGAAGACTAAAGCACTGTAAAGGATTGGCGGAAAAAACTACCCCAAAGAAAACCTACACTTGGTTCATTCCTTGTTCAGTCTAAGGATCAGCCTATAGCTTCAACTTTAACCTGAATTTTATAGATTATAAAACAAATGAATCTTATTTTTATGATTTTTGCTTTCCAGTATGTGCTTGTTCATTCTGATTTCATTCTAAGAATCGGTGTACCATTCTGAGTGTAACCTAAATTTTGCAGATCATCAAAATTATATTTTCATAATATTTTTAGTTATGAATTGATTCATAAATGAATTCATCTGATTCAGCAGGTGTGGAGGGATCAATGTCCGTAAGTCAGAGCTTGGAACATAGTAGGTGTATTCCTAACAAGTGCCCAGGTGATGGAAGCCGAAGCTGCTGCTCTGGGGACCTCACTTTGAAAGAAGTGCTATCTAACAAGCCTGCCTAGGGTCATCCCACTCTCTGGGGGATGGGCCTTGTTTTGATTATTTACTAATATGAATGAAAAAATATGGGTTTCCCTTTTCTTTCAGATTATTTTTTAGGATAAATGTCTACCAAACTGAAGAGTGATATAAGGAGGGCCAGCACCTTCTCCCCCAGGTCCTTAGCAGTCAGAACAAGCAAGGCTGCCGAGCCCTGGGGTCCCAGCGGGGAAAGGGCGGGGGCAGGGGGACGGCACATACTTGTAGACAGCGCTGTCCTTCTTGGGGCTGGGCTGCGGCAGGAGGCTGTGGGAGTACTGGTGCACGCCCAGGTCATAGAGCGAGGGGAAGTCCTTGCCACAGAGATGGCAGCGATAGCTCAGCTCCTCCTGGTGGCTCTTGATGTGCTCCAGAAATGTGTCGAGCTTTGGGAATGTCTGCGCACAGCTTTTCACCACACACTTGTAAACCTTGAGGGAAGCCACAGATCAGGTGAGGGGAGGCAGACTGTTGCCCTGCTCCCCCGCTCCTGGAGCTCTGTTTTATTTTGATGATAGAGCCCTCTCTTCTCAGCCAGTCACAAGGCCCCATTACCTTTCCCTCAGGTGCTGGGTGACCTGGGTATATTTAGGAAAATTACCCCAAGCCGGGAAATACAAGGAAAAGATGACATCATGTCCTTCCGGTGTTGTACTTGAGTAGTGGCCCTCCGACTTGAGCGTCCACTGCAGTGACAGATTGCTGGGCACCACTCCCGGAGCATCTGATTCAGCAGGTGTGGAGGGATCAATGTCCATAAGTCAGAGTTTGGAACATAGTAGGTGTATTCCTAACAAGTGCCCAGGTGATGGAAGCCGAAGCTGCTGCTCTGGGGACCTCACTTTGAGAAGTGCTATCTAACAAGCCTGCCTAGGGTCATCCCACTCTCTGGGGGATGGGCCTTGTTTTGATTATTTACTATTGATTAGGATCCAGACTCTAGAGTTAAATATTAACTTGCGGAAAACAGATCCAATATAAATGATTTTCGTCTGGTGGAAAAGATATCCCCAAAGGTCACGGGTTATCTACCGTAACAATCTTATTTCAATGTTCCTTTCTTTCACTGACATAATTATATGTAGGTAGAAGTACTAGTATCTTAGATCCTCTTTTGCACCGGCTTTGTTATCCTTCTAGTTTCCTTATTAATGAGTTATGTAAAATTCTGGCTCATGTTCACTATATTATTTATATGAGAATTAGATTTTTAAATTTTGAAAATTATACTTTAACAAGCATAATCCTGATTGCCTGTACAATTCCACTTGCTCCTTCTTCCTAACAAAGTGAACCCTGATTTGTTCAGGGTGGCAACATACCCAGTTAAAACACTTTATCTCCCTGGCTCCCCTGTGTCAGCCAGGTGGCTCCTTTCTTGTCAGTGATATGCACGCAGTAGTCTTTAGGGAAGGCATTACTTCCAGAACACAAAACACAAAAGCATCCTAGGAGAAATCCCCTCTGCTTTTCTCATTTGTCCTGACTGGGATACAGATGTGATGGCTGGAGATACAGCAACTATTATGCAATCTTGAGGATGGAAGTCACATGCTAAGGAGGCAGGGCCGCAAACCAGAAAAAGCCTGAGTCTACGATGACATATCTGACCTGCTATACAAGCCCAACACTGCTTACCTATGGACCTCTTGTGACATAAGGGAAATAAAACCCTAACTAGTAAGCTAGTTGTCTATTATTTGCAGAGTAATAATGAATTCCTAAGTGATAGAGCATATCCACTGGCTCTGACTAATGAGAGATCTACAGAGGGCTTCTAGGAAAGAGACACAGAGAAGACAGTGCGTTTTTGCTGTGTCTGGACTACTGGACTACTGCCTAGAAAGAGTGACTACCATCCCAAGACCACAGGTAAGCCGTCAGTATCAAACAACATCATATCCTGAGGTGGCAGAGACAAGAGCTAGAAGGACACAGGGTCCTTGATATTGGGTTGAGTCAACTGACTGTCTCAGGCCTTGAGCTGCCTAATCTTGGGCTTTCTTATTATGTGCAATGACAAACCTCTTAATTGTTTAAGCAGCCGGAGTCAAAGTTTTCTGTGATTTTCCCCAAGGGTATCCTAACTTAATTCCATCAACCCCCCTGCTGGGAATCTAGGGTAAGGGAAAAGTCAGAGATTTGGATGAAGATTTGATTATAATGATGTTCACCATGGTTTTGCTTACAATAGCAAAACATAGTTCATATCCTACATGTTAAAACAATGGGATTTTTTTAAATGTAGCTGTTAAAAATTATTTTTTAAACAGTGACATGAGAAAATTCTCAGAATATAAAATTAGGTTAAAAAATAGAAAGTACAAATCTCAAGAGAATTTATGCTTATTAAAAAAACCCAATCTCAAAAGGCCCCATACGGACGATTCCATTTATACAATGTTCTCAAAATGACAAACTTATAAAGAGAGAGAACTGATTAGTGGTTTCCAGAGGCTGAGGATGTTGGGGAAGAGGAGAGCAGGTGTAATAATGAGGAGGGAACAAGGAAGATCTTTGTGGTGATGGAATAGTTCTATACTGTGATTGCAGTATAAACCTACACAGATGGTAAAATGGCAAAGAACTATACATAGCTTTACACCCATGTCAGTTTCCTGGTGTAGCTATCAGGCTGTAGTTAGGAAAGAGGTAATCATCGACGGAAACTGACTGAAAGGCATAAGGGATCTCTCCCTATTATCTTTGCAACTTCCTGGGAATCTACAATGCTTCCAAAAGAAAAAGTTTAAAAAGTAAGCTATCAGGAAAAAAAAAAGTACAATTCAAAATTATATGTGTGAACAGATCCCAATTATAATAAAAAAACACAAACTCTACAAAATATGCTGGATTTTGTTGCTGCATTCTGGGGAGGACATATTGCAAGGTGGTTAATGACATGGGGTTTGGCTTTGAGCCCTGACCTAGTCAGTTACTGGTGGTGTGACTCTGGATAGGTCACTTCACCCCTTGGGGCCTTGGTTTCTTCATTTAGATATACTGAAAATGCCTATCCCTAAGGTTGCTATGAAGATTAAATAAAATATTGAATGTAAAGCAGTTAGCAGGGTGTCCAGCATCTAATAAATGCATTCTTCAACCTATGTATTCTTTAGATTATTCTGAAATTTTACAAAAAAATTTTTTAATTAATTAATTAATTTATTTATTTATTTGTTTATGAGAGAGAAACCTAAGCAGGCTCCAAGCCCAGTGTGGAGCTAGACGCAGGACTCCATCTCACCACCCTGAGATCATGACCTGAAAGCCAAAATGAGCCGAAATCAAGAGTCTGACACTTAGCTGACTGAGCCACCCAGGAGCTCCTGAAGTGTACACTTTAAAAAGGGTGAATTTTGTGGGATACAAATTATATCGCGATTGAAAAAAAAACAAAAAAAGACTATGGTCAATCCCCCAGAGGTGGGTGTCTAGATGTGAGATTTTCTTGGGGTACTGAGAATTTTTCTCATGTCCAGTTTCTATATCATATGACCCAGAAGAGGTGGGTTTCCTCCCTTGGCCTAGCACCACAATAGCCCAGTAAGCTGGCCCCACCTACAGAGGGAAAGCTTGGCCTATCTCGGGTGGTTAGATGGAAGCTCACTGCAACTGGGGCCCACTCCTGTCCCTTTCTAGACAGTGTTCAAGGCCCCAGCACCAGCCAAGGCTCACACGTCGGGTGGTTGTGGCCCCCCGCTGCCCACCACCCGCTTACCTGCTCATTCTTATGCTGGGTCATGTGGGACTTGAGCTGGAAGTAGGTGCTGAACTTGCTGGGGCAGAACTGGCACAGGTAGGAGCTGTCTATGAGGACGACCTGCTTGGCCTCCAGCTTGTCCCCTTCATCCTCCCCTGCGGCAGGCAAGGCCTGGGCTTGTGGGGCACTTGACAGGGACTGACCCAACCCTGTGGAGAAAACCAGGGAAGAAGTCACTGAGGAGGGGAGAGGAAGAGCCAGGACAGAGGGCCATGACATTCAGGAAGGACCCACAGAGCACCTCCTGTGTGTTGCCGGGTCTACCCGGCCACCTACCACGTGCCTGGTGTTGGACACCGTACTCAAGGCCCTACACTCACAATCCGCTTTGCACACAGATACAGCCATTCCAGATGCTCACCTCCTGAGTACTTACACCCTGACTGGTAAATGGCTATTGCCCCAAATCTCCCCTCACTGGCCTTTCCCTAGGCCTCTCCACGGTTGTTAAAAATCCTGGACACTACTCCTGCCTATATTCGTCACACCTCCCCAGCTCCCCATTCCAATTACAATCATTTGTTCAGCTGCCCTTCTCTCACTCTCTGAGGGCAGGGGCCTCTGACCTCATCTCTACAGAGGCCTCCATAAATATCTGCTATATGGTTGAACCCCTGGTGCTAGGCACTGTAGGAATTTTGAAAAAAAAAAATAAGAAACAGATTCTTCCCCAGGAGCTCAAAAAAATGCACAGGGCACACAGAGACTGACTAAACACACTGTAGGGCTAGTTCCAGTAGGAGGGTCAAATAAAAGTGGCCACAGGCTGCTCAGGCAGCAAAACACCCCCTTCGTTCACCGGTATGTGGCAGGCTTTGCTCACCCGGAGGACTGTACAGGAAAGGCTTAGCTCTGGCCCTACACTGTCCAATAGAGTGGCCACGAGCCACATGTGGTGACTGAGAACTCGAAATGTGGCTAGTCCAGATCCAGATACGCTATACACATAAATACACCCTGGATTTTGAAAACTTAGCATAAAAAAATATAAAATGTTTCATTAATACTTTCCTTATATACTAGGATGATAATTAGGTTAAATAAAACATATGATTAAAATTAATTTCACTTTTGGGCGCCTGGGTGGCTCAGTTGGTTAAGCGACTGCCTTCGGCTCAGGTCATGATCCTGGAGTCCCGGGATCGAGTCCCGCATCGGACTCCCTGCTCAGCAGGGAGTCTGCTTCTCCCTCGGACCCTCCCCCCTCTCATGCTCTCTCTCTATCTCATTCTCTCTCTCAAATAAATAAAATCTTAAAAAAAATAAAATTAAATTAATTTCACTTTTTTTAAGTATTGTTTTAATGTAGCCACTAGAAGGTTTTAAATTGTATATGTTGTTCATATTACATTTTTGTTAACAGCACTGCTCCAGGCCTAGTGACTCCTCAAGCCCCATACAGAACAGGAATTAAGCCAATATCAGGAACATGATCACTAGCTCAGGGACAAGTGATGGCTTGGATGGGAATTCTACAAAGTATAAGGGGCTTTGGAAACTTAAGCCCATGGACGTCAAACAGGTTTCAATTTCAAGGTAACTGATAGTGACTGCCTGGAGCAATAGATTGAAAGTAGATTCTGAGGTAGGATCCAGGCACAGCAAAAGACAGGTGAGTGATTAGTGTTGTCTTCCAAGGGTACAGTATTAGAGTAAGGCCAGGCATACTGTACATTTGTCATCCCTCCTTTCATGCTATGCCCCATTTTATAGATAAAGTAGACTGAAGCCCAGAGAGGTCAAGGAGGTTGCCCAAGGTCACACAGCTAGGAATAAAACCCATGAAGCTTCAGAGGACAGGTATGGGAACAATGGCATTCCCCACTTCTACCTACCTGTGTTTTCCTCGTCCTCCTGCCTGCTGGGGTTGAGGGCCATGACCTGTACAGTCACAGAGTTGCGAGAGACAGTGCCACCGCTACGCCCTGGAGGCCACACCTTATGAGTCTGCATGTGTTTCTTGACATTAGATTTCTGGGCAAAGGCACGGCCACATGCAATGCACTGGAAGGGCTTCTCACCGGTGTGGCTATGGGAAACAAAGCTTGTCAGCACCCTCATGTGGAACTGGGATGTGACCTCAGCAGAGGAGCTCACAACCCCCAAGAAGGCCCAGACAGAGCATGCGGATGCTGGTGGCCATCATGGTGACACCATGAGGACAAGCCAGCAGGCCACAGGCAGAAAGACCCTGAGCTCTTGGTGACATTACTGAGTTGCTGAATCAACCAGCCCTGGAGCTCACCTTCCCTGTGGGCCTTCTCCATACGGCGAGAGGAAACATTTCCTAATTGTTTAAGCCCTCTCGAACAGGGATTTATTCTCTGAAGGAGAAATGGCACAGTCACAGCACAGAACTTGTACCATTATTTAATATTTCCCTTCCATTCAATCTGCTCTTTTGAAACTTAAAATAATTTAAAAAATTAAGCTTCCTGTTGTTATATGGAAAACCACTTATCATAAATACAAAGTAACCAAAAATGCAATAATTTATAAAATGTCATTAAGATCTATAGAGCTGCATTGTCCAATAAGGTTGACACAAGCCACACGGGGCTGTTTAAATTCATTAAAATTAAATTAAAAATTCAGTTTCCTGCCATTTGCAATGACGTGGATGGAACTAGAAGGTATTATGCTAAGCGAAATAAGTCAATCAGAGAAAGACATGTATCATACGATCTCACTGATATGAGGAATTTGAGAAACAAAGCAGAGGATCATAGGGGAAGAGAGGAAAAAATGAAACAAGACAAAACCAGAGAGGGAGACTCTTAATCTCAGGAAATAAACTGAGGGTTCCTGGAGTGGTGGGGGTGGGAGGGATGGGGTGGCTGGCTGATGGACACTGGGGAGGGTATGTGTTGTGGTGAGTGCTGTGAATTGTGTAAGACTGATGAATCACAGACCCGTACCCCTGAAATAAATAATACATTATGTTAATAAAAAAAAAAATTCAGTTTCTTAGACTAGCCACATTGCAAGTGCTCAGCAGCCGCATATGGTCAGTGGCTACCCTACTGGACACTGCCAATTTGGGCATTTCCATCACTGCAGAAAGTTCTATTGAGCAGCGCTAGTGTAGACTAGTGAGGTGTTTTTTTTTTTTAATTTAACTAAAAAATTTTTTTAATTTAAATTCAATCAATCAACATATAATGTATTATTGGCTTCAGAGGTACAGGTCTGTTCAGGTCTTGATCTCAGGGTCCTGAGTTCAAGCCCCACACCGGGCTCCACCCTGGGTGTGGAGCCTACGTTACATACATACAAACAGAAAGACATACAGACATACATAAATAAATAAGACAATAAAAGTCAATAGTGCCAAGGTTGAGAAACCCTGGTCTAATGAGAAGCTGTTGCCTGTCACGATTGGAATCTGAGGTGTGCACGTGTGCATGCATCAACATGCTCTCTCCTTCTCTCTTTGCTATAAAAGATGAGCACGTATGTGAAAGGTGTTCAACACAGACTAGCACCAAACCTAGGCTTTCTCCTTTGACTCTCCGAGGACTGAAAGAATTTGAAAAGAGAATAATTTTCTACATCCTTCAGAACTTCTTGACACCGTAACCACAAACCACCTAAAATCAGGTACCAATGTATCCCTTTCTGTGAGAAACATGGAACAAGACCCACCCCCACCCCGCACTTCAAAGATGGAAAGGCCGAGGCCCAGAGGGGCTCCCTGCATGTTCTTGGGACAGGAGGTATCACGGTTAGTCCTGAGTGAGCAGAACTCGCGGTCATATTCACACAGCGTGGCATGGCAGCCCTTGAGGTCAGCCCTTTCTGCAGAGGTGAAGATTGAGGCACCTTGAGGCACCTCACTCCTTCAAAGGCCCCACAGTTCAAGTACATTTCTTCCCCGACCCTGCCTGGCTTGGACCTTCTCCACCACAGTGAGCAGGTCCCACAACTTTCACAGATCCCTCCTACTGCTCCTGAGACAGAAGAGGGAAAACCGACCTGACTTGGACCGAAGGTCTGAGAACCATGACAGGATGGATGGGGCCTTGGTCACCACCCTGGCAAGGGGACTGAGAAGGGAGCCTTGCTTCTACTGTGGAAGGCCCTCCAGCCAGGGCTGCTGAGGAGCCACCGGCCCCACCATGCCTGGGTACCTTCGGATGTGCTGCTGCAGGTCGAAGTTTTTAGTGAATGACTTGTCACAGTATGAGCACTTGAGTTTCTGAGCCTTTGGCTTCCCTGCAGCTGAAAAACAAGGTGGGGTGGGGGGTTGGGAACGGTGAGGCTGGGGGCATAACTGAAGGCAACAAGATCAGCCTCCTACCACTCTACCCATTGGACGTGGGGCCAGAAAGCCAAGGGAGGTCTATACCTGCAGACAGGCAGGAGAAGCAGCACAGAGCCTCTCACAGTGCCTGGAGGAGGAAAGCCCGGGCAAAATGTTCTGCCTCGAAGAGCAGAACCACCTCTGAAAGGCTCCCCTCTGCCCTCGGATAAAATTCCAACCTCTCTGCTGCGGCCTACAGGGCTATGCATCCTCTTCTTCCTGCCAACCTCATCATTCTCTCCATGCAGCGGCAGTGGACTCCTTGCTAACCTTGAAAGACCTCAAACGTGGCCCTCTTTCAGCACCTGCTATTCCTGCTCATCCCTCAGATAGCCACAAAGCTGCCTCCTTCTCATCCCTAGATAGAGAGGTAGCATCATTTTCCAGTCTCTCCCCAGTATTCTCAATCATAGTACCCTGTTAAGCTCCTTCCTGGAGCAACCCATAAATAGTTATCCTGTTTTCCCTGTCTGTCTCTCCCATTAACTATAACCGAGGGTGGAGAAATCATGGACCACGATGCTGGATCCTCAGCACCTGACACTGAGCCTGGCACACAGATGCTCAACATATATCTGTGGGAGGAAGGAAGGAGGGATGAAAGTAGTTGACTGGAAAGCCCCTGAAAGATTCTTGATTTCTGTGCCCTCCTCCACCACCACTGTCTAACACTGCCCCTGTCCCATCGCTAGCATCTCTGAAGGGGTGGAAGACACCACTGCCTGCCTGCCTGATATCCACTACCTGCCTTCTTTCCTCACAAATCCCCCGAATAGTGGGAACATCAATGTTTCTGGCTAAAAAAGACATTTCCCAGCTTCCTTTGCAGCTAGAGTCATGTGACTAAATTGCGATCCATGAGATGAAAGTAAAAGCATCATGCAGAACTTCTGGAAGCTGGAAGATGCCCCTTTTATCCTTTTTACTGCCTGGAATATGAAATCGATGACTGGAACTCCAGCAGCCATCTTAGATGATGAGGCACCCTGATAACAGAAGCTATGCCCTAGGGGTAGCAGAGCAGAAAGACAGAAGAAATGACCATACAAGCACACAATTTCCAAATTGCCTGCCACTGGCCTTGTTTTGCACAGGAGAAAAATAAAATTCGATCATTTTAAAGTCACTCCACTACATGCAACCACACTTAATCCTAACCATCATAAAAAGGAAGACCAGACCCAAGCAGCCTTATGGACAGGAGAATGCTGAAGAAAGATGCCCCTGGCAGGCGGCAGGTCTACCTTCTGGGAGTCCACTGGCCCCTTTTGCCCGGCGGGTCTTCAGTGTTGGTGGGGAGTCAAAGGTGGCCACCGTGCCCCCCGTGGCACTGGTCATGGGGGCAGCTGGGTTTGGTCCTTTCGGTTTGAATCCCTGTTTGCCGGGGCTGTACACCGGAGGGGTGGGGTATACTGGAGGCTCCACACACTGGTTTGGCACCTAGAAGGACAGCACAGTGAGGGAGAGAGGCCTGGGAAGGATAGAAAAGAGCTATACCAGCCAGGGGTACCCTCACTGTGGCCCCGGCTAATCGCAGCCAGAATCACGATCCTAACCCCTCCATCTGGCTCAGACACCCCAGTCACTCCCAAGACCCTACAGAACTTCATGGAGCCAGTAGGCTAGAAGCAGCTTTGGAGCCAGCAGTCTGGGTTCAAATCCTGCCTCTGCCACTTATTATCTAAGTGATCTTGGGCAAGTCTTTCAACATCTCTCAGTTTCACATCTGTAAAATGGGAATAATCAGAGTACTCCTCTCCTTGGGTTGTGGTGAGGATTAAATGACTCTTTCTGTGTCTCTCTCTCTGTCAAATAAATAAATAAAATCTTTAAAAAAAAATGAGTTAACATGTAAACAGCTTAGAATGGTGCCTGGCATACAGTAAATACTCAATAAACATTAGCCGCTGTTACAGCTTTATTGGTAGTAGTAGTTTGTTAGCACAGAAGAACCAGGAAATCAGAAAAGTCTGCCTCACCAGCAACCCCACTTCCTAACTGGCCCTGCCTGATGCCACACCAGCATGCATCTCTCAACTGAGAACTGACACTGAAGTCCCAAGAAATTCATTCATACCAAACGACTTCTGAGACACTCAAACCTAGCTAACACTAAGCTTACATCATGACATTGGGGCATTGTGAAGAATTCATTAATTGATTGATATACTCGTCATTCATTGGGTTTTCCAGGATGGCTTATCCAAAACTTCACGTCCTATCCTTCTCTGCTTTTTTTTTTTCTTTGTGGACTTACCATTATCTAATAAATTATGTGTTTTATGTACTTATCTATTATCTGCCTAGTTCCATGAAGGCAGGGATTTTTGGTCTGTTTTTGTTTACTGCTCTATCCCCAAGCCTGCAGTAATCCTTGGCACAGAGTGGGCATTCAATAAATATTTGTTGAACCAGTGAATTCATTTATATATTACAATATATTATAATATAATATAATGATACATAAAAAATATACACTTGTTCATTCAGATGACCAAAATGTATTTGTCAGATATATTTGGTCTTCATCCACAGTTCCTAGAAATGCTTCAGAGCCATAAAAGTGAAATGGGTATCTTACTATTTTTTTTGTTTTATTATTAATGAAAGTGACTTTTGGCCCTGATCCAAGGGCAGGCTGGTTGCAGAGACGACCAACCATGTGACTGATGCGTTGGAACATTCAGTCCCATCCCCCAACCTCTGGGGAGTGAGGAAGGGCTGGAGGCTGAATCAGCCACAGCCAATGACTTACTCATGATTATGTAATAACGCTTCCATAAAAACTCCAAAGGACTGGGTTTGGACAGCTTCCAGGTTAACACAGGGAGATACAGGGTGAGTGGCACACAGAAGCTCCATGCCCTTTTCCCCACTCCTCACCCTATGTATCTCTGCGTTGGGCTGTTGATCTGTATCCTTTATTATATCCTTTAATAAACTGGTAAATGTAAATGTTCCCGAGTTCTACGAGCTGCTCTAGCAAATTAAATCCCTTTGCCAGAAATACCTAGAGTGGTCCCTATTTTCCTGACCAATACATCACTCAATAAATAAGTATCACATGGATGAATTCACCCATCATGCAAGTCGTTACTGAGTAATTACATGACTGCCACTGGGTTTGCTCTCTTTATCCTCAACAGCTCTACAAGGGGAGTTCCCATTTCAGAGGAGAGGAGACTGAGGTCAGAGAGCCCTATTTCAGACACCTACTATAGGTGTGCCACAGGCCAGGGACTCTGCTAGGGGCTAAGGATGCCAAATCAAAGGAGACTCAGGCTCTGCCCTCAAAGAGCACCCTCGTCTACATGGAAAATAAACAGCAGCAGCTCCTTCTGCTCTGGCCCCCTCTGCCTACCAGGCCACCATCACCCTCTCAGCATCTCACTGACTTAATTGCTTTTTTTTTTAACTCAACATAGGGAGGCTTGCTCTATTCCCTCAGGCTAGGATAAATCCCCCACAGGCTCTCATAACATCACATGGCTGGTGGTAGATTTCCCCACTGGTCTGGTTCTCTTTAGAGAGAACCATGCTCTCTAAACATGGAATGTCTGTATGGCCAGATTGTAAGGTGAGGGGGGGGTTAATGTGACCTCAAGTGCAGGCAGGCTCTTGCTGTCAGAACCGTGCCTCCTAGCACTGGGGTTGGGGCAGGTTCTGAACTCTGAGCACTTGAGCTTGTAGCAGGCAATGAGGGTGGCACAGACTGCTTCGTGGCTTCAATTCTCTACCCCTCCCAGTACCTGTGCCCTTCGCAGCGTGATTCTGCAGCTTTCCCCATCAAGATGTGGCATCGGTTTCCCTACTCCTTAAATCTAAGCTGGCTTTGGGACCTACTTTGACCAACGGAAGAGACCCGGTCACAAACCTAAGCTCCACAAGGCCAGGACCATTTCTGCTTGGGTGACTGCACCTCTAGCACTGCTGTAAGCACATGCCTAGCGAGCCCACTGGAGGATGAGAGATGGCCAGAGCAGAGCTGGGTCACCCAACTCATCCCACCCAGGCCATCCTATAGTAGCTGATAGCTGCCATCTCCAGACACCTGGGAGAGCCCAGCCAAGATCAGCGGGTTGCCAAGCAAGCCATGTAGGTGCAAGAACAATAAACACATTTTGCCATATACCACTGAGTTCTGGGATATTTCTTACATAGCCATAGCTAACCGATACATCTAGCCTGTTAAAAATGTAAGAGACTGGGGATCCTGGGTGGCTCAGTCGGTCAGGCATCTGACTTTTGATTTTGGTTTGGGTCATGATCTCAGGGTCGTGGGATCAAGCTTCAGAGCGGAGTCTGCTTGAGATCCTCTCTCTCTCCCTCTGCCCCTCCACCCTGCTCTTTCCTTCTTTCTCTTTCTAAAAAAATAAATAAATAAAATTTTTTAAAATGTAAGAGACGTTCACACAGATAATTTTTTGGAAACTTCTCCCTAAAACATTGGTGTTCTCTGAATGTTCTGAGCACTCCCTGAGGGTAGCTTGTATTTCTGCTAACTTCTACTTCAAACCACCTTGTCATGGTTTGTATTTTACCTTTATAGGTATGATGGCTTGATTAAAGTCCTTCTCTCCTATGGTGTGGCTACCCCTCTGATCTGGTTTTGTCTCCCATGCTACCTCTGGCACAGTGTCTGACACACAGCTGGTGCTTGGGAAAGGTTCAGGTTACCCATGATAATCATAACCAGTTTCTCCCCCTCCATCCCAAATCCCAACCTCTGCTCACCTCCAGGGGTGGGTAGGGCTGCATTCCCAATGCCTGGATCTCCACCGTGCCGCTCCCAGCCAGGGGCGCCGTGGCACTGTACACCTCCACCACACCATTTCCGCCAGGGTTGGGACGCCCAGGGGGGCCCAGGCTCTGGGGTGGGGGTGGTGGGGGCTGGGGTGGTGGGGGTGGGGGCAGTGGTGGAGGTGGGGGAGGAGGTGGTGGAGGCTGGGTGAGGTAGCTGGGTGCAGAATGCATGTTCAGGCTGCTCTGAAATCAGAAGAGAAAATTAAAGTGTCACACCCTCTTGACACCAGCCGTCTTGTTATCAGTGAGGAAGGACATTTGTCTTAGCCAGCCATGTGGAAAGAAAAGCCCCTCACAAGGCAACTCAGAGGACAGGGCTGACGGGAGGCATGGCAACAGAGTCATGGAAGAATAGAGAGGAAGCATTAGCCAGGTGCCATTACCCCTTTTCTCTAGGAAAGTCGACAAAAAGGCCCAGCTTGGACACAACTGAGTTGATCTAGCAGCCCCACTGTTGCTGTCTTAGGAGGGTTTGCTTGTGGGACCGGCTCTTGAATGGCCTCTGAGAACCTACCTTGTGGAAGGTTGCCTATGATCGATAAGGCTGTTTTGATCATCTGGGGGCACTGCCCATTCTGTTCCAGGTCACCCAGATTGTTTGTACAGACAGTGTGATCTGTGGCGAACATATCCTTTCCTTCTAAGAGTCTGGAATTTTGGTCACTGTGGCACCTACATGACCAATCCCCAAGAAAAGCCCTGAGCCTCGAATCTTAGGTATGCTCCCTGGGCAGAAACACGCACACGCGTTGCTGCTCTTCATTGCTGGAGGAAAAAGTATTTTGTGCAATCTCTCCCCACTGCCCCAAGAGGAGGAACAGTAGAAACCGATGCCTGGATTTCTCCAGACTCCAACTGATGTCTTTTTCCCTTGCTGATCCTGCTGTGCATCCTTTGTCAGGAAGAAACCACAGCCATGAGTAACTATCCCAAGTCCTAGGAGTATTTCTAGAGAGTCACCAAACTGTGGGGGCTGTGGACCCCTGAAACACAGCCACTGACTTCTAGAAATTTATTCCATAGAAATATAATCAAGCAGGTGGGCAAAGATATGCGTACATGGATGGTTCCCCAGTAGTTTTTATAGCAGCAAAAAATGGCAATGACCTACAGGTCTGTTAACAGAAGGCTGGCTATACAAAGGATGGTCCATCCACACGATGAAATCTTTAACAGCTATTAAAATGATAGTGATCAGGGGTGCCTGGGTGGCTCAGCTAGTAGAGCATGCAACTCCTGATCTCTGGGTAGTGAGTTCAAGGCCCACATTGGGCAAAAAGCTTACTTAAAAAAAAAATGATGGTGATCAGTATTTTATAAAGGATGCACCTCTTAATTGCTGCTCCTTGGGCTCCACAGTCAAACGTGTTTGGGGAAAAATCTGGGGTGACAAAAATCAAAAGTGTTTTACTGCAGGAAAAAAAAGTCAGGGACAGGGCAAGGAAAGAAGTAGAATGCCTCCACCCTATACTGGTTTGACCAGAGATTCTTTTTGTATGGAACATCCCAAGGAGCCACTCTTCTGAGGAACATTTTAGAAAACACTGATATAGAATTTGAGGCACAGATAATGATTTTAAGCAAAAGGCAAAATAAAAAAAAGCAAGTTTCAGAACAGTGCATATTAACATGGTCCATTGATATAGATATGTGTTTTATAAATGTATTTATATAAAAAGCTGTTTCTCGGGATGCCTGGGTGGGTCAGTCAGTTAAGCATTTGCCTTCGTTTCAGGTCATGATCCAGGGTCCTGGACTGAGTCCCACATGGGGCTCCTTGCTCAGCAGGGAGCCTGCTTCTCCCTCTGTCTGCCACTCCCCCTGCTTGTGCGCTCTCTCTCTCTGACAAATAAATAAAATCTTTAAAAAAATAAAATAAAAAGCTATTTCTTTATTTGCATTTAAAGATCAGGAAAGCCAGACACCAAAATTCTAACAGTGTTTTCTTTGGAGGGAGAGAGTAGGGGTGGTTGATTAACTGATTGACTTCCCAACTTTTATTCTTTAAATTTTTTTAAAAGATTTTATTTTTAAGTAATCTCTACACCCAATGTGGGGCTCAAACTCACAGCCCCAAGATCAAGAGTCACATGCTCTACCAACTGAGCCAGCCAGGTGTCCCCCAACTTTTATTCTGAAAAAATCTCAAACCTATAGGAAGGTTGCAAAAAGAATACAGTGATCAGGGGCCCATGGCTGGCTCAGTGAATAAAGCATGCGACTCTTGATCTCAGGGTCGTGAATTCAAGCCCCACACAGGCATAGAGATTACTTAAAAAAAAAAAAAAAAAGAACATACCAATCAGTCTTTAAACTTTATCTAATTTACCAGTTGTTAACATTTTGCCACATCTGCAATGTACATATGTGTGTGTGTATATACGTACATACATTCAAGGTTATATTTGTGTTTTTTTTTAAAGATTTTATTTATTTATTTGAGAGAGAGAGAATGAGAGATAGAGAGCACGAGAGGGAAGAGGGTCAGAGGGAGAAGCAGACTCCCCGCCGAGCAGGGAGCCCGATGTGGGACTCGATCCAGGACTCCAGGATCATGACCTGAGCTGAAGGCAGTCGCTTAACCAACTGAGCCACCCAGGCACCCAAGGTTATATTTGTGTTTTAGCAAGCCATTTGATAGTCAGCTGCAGACATCATAATACTCTTTTCCTCAATACTGTATTCAGATGCATCTCCTAAGAAGGGGATATTCTCCTATTTAACCACAATTTGACAGTCACGCTCAGGAAACTACCTGTTAATATAATACTATTATCTAAAATATTAAAATGCCTCCTATTCTCATTTCCCCAAAGTGTCCCAATAATGCCTTTAGATTCTCCCCCCCCCAATCCAGGATCCAACCAAGAACTGCATATTGCCGGGGGAAGGGGGGGCAAAATGGGTGAAGGGGAGTGGGAAGTACAGGCGAAAAAGAAACACACACACAAAAAAAGAATCGCACGTCGTAGTCAGTTGCCATGTCTCTCTAGTTTCCAGATTATGAGTAATTAAACTTTGTTTTTACTTTTCTATTGTGTATTTTCTAATGTTTTCCAATGGACATGGAACACTTTTGTTAAGAAGTTAGGAGGGGATGCCTGGGTGGCTCAGGTGGTAAGGCATCCGATTCCTCATTTCAGCTCAGGTCATGATCTCAGTGTCACGGGACTGAGCCTCACATGGGGCTCTGTGCTCAGCAGGGAGTCTGCTTGAGATTCTCTCTCTCCCTCTCTCTGCCCCTCCTGCCCCCACGCACACCTGGGCTCACTCACTCTCTCTCTCAAATAAATAAATCTTACAAAAAAAAGAAAAAATAGGAAGATGTCTGGCTGGCTCAGTCAGTATACCATGTGCCTCTTGATCTTGGGGTTGTGGGGTCATGAATTTAAGCCCCACGTTGGGCATGGAGCCTACTTATTTAAAAAAAAAAAAAAAGGAATAAAAATAGGAGTCAAAATAGCCAGACTATGGCTGTGAAACCCCAAAGTCATGTTCTAGGTCCCAACTGAAGTGACCCCTTCCCTACCCACAGCAGGGGAGGCCAAGGGGAGCCTGACAGTCTCTCTTCAGCGTGAGAGCTGAGGCCATCCACTCTTCTTTCTACAAGGTTCCAAATCCATGGCGGTCAATATACAGGTCTGGAATTAAGATCCTATGAGAAGCCGGCCCCCTCCTTACCTGCACAGGCGGGGGGCCCTGGGGCATGGGCTGGTCCAGGGACGTGAAGGCCGACATGGCAGACATGAGCACATCATCACTCACCAAGATGTTCCCCTGCACCAGGGTCTGGATCAGCGGGGATGGGGGCACTGTAATGTACGTGGAGATCTGGGTAGTGTGAATGAGAGAGAGAGAATGGAAGGGAAGAGAAGAGATATGTCTGAGGCTCTGGAAGGAAACGGGGCATGATGCAAAAGACTCGGGCTCTGGAACCCCACAGCCCTGTGTTTCATTTCCACCTCTACTTCTCCCTGCTGTGTGACCCTGGGCAAGTCACTCCACCTTTCAGAACTTCCATTTCCTTATCTACGAAATGAGAATAAGCCATAACTCTCTGTAAGAGAAATACCCTATGACCCAGCAATAATACTTTCTGGTATCTCTCCTAGAGAAACACTCACACATGTCCACAGGGAGTCCATGAACAAGAGTATCCTATATAGCTTTATTTCAAACAGCGAATAACTGGAAAGAACCTCAGTGTCCATCAAAGGGGAAACGGAGTAAAACAATACAATACAGTCATACCATAGAATACTACACAACAGATAAAAGGTATTGCATGAAAAACCAAATTATGTAATAACATGCAGATTATATATTCTTACTTCAAAAATTCTAAAACAAAAGCACTATAGAATTCCTGTGGGAATCACCATGCTCTGTATTAGGAGAGGCCTGTGGCAGCCTGAGAAGTATCAGTATTCAAGTCCTACAGATCTGGGGGTGAATGCTTTTATTCTGACGGCAGGAATTATGTCTATACAGTGGATGGAGATAACGTTTTAAAGGAATAAGGAGATAAGAGGAAGCCAGAAGGAAATTTGACCCCTTGACCTGGCGTCCTGAGACGTGTCCAGCCTCCTTTACGAGGATTCTTTAATCCCTCCAAGAGTCCCTGACCCAGGGTGTCTCTGCTCTCCCCTGACCTCCAGACCTGTAGATCTGTCTGCATCTTCACCACCTCCACTTAAAGGCCCAATGGGTATCTCAAATCCAGCATGACCAGTTGAACTCCTGACATCCCTCCCAAATCTTCTTCTTGCTGTTTCCCCACTTCAGTAAATGGCAACTCCACCTCTGCAGTGGATCCCCCTTGACTCCTCCTGATCTCACACCTCACATCCAGCCTATCCGCAAGCCCTTTTGGCTCCACCTTCAAAACATTTCCAAAATCTCATCTCTTCTCTCCACCTCCACTGCCACCATCCGGCCAAGCCACCACCACCTATTGCCTGGATTGGTACAACAGCCCCCTAAAGCCTCCTGGGTTTTTCTCTTGACTCCCACCAAAATCTATTCTCTGTACAGCAGCCAGAGTAATCTAGTTTAAGTGTAAATCAGACTATGTCCCTCTTCTGTTCAAAACCTTCCTAAGGTTCGCATCTGACTCAGAGGAAAAGCCCACGAGGCGCACATGCTCACCAGGATACCCCTGTTGCCTGTCTGAACTTATCATCTTCCATCCTCCACCTCATTCACTCAGCTCCAGCCACACTCACCTCCTTGCTGGTCCTGGAATAAACCCAGCACACTCCCATGCCAAGGCCTTTGTACTTGCTGATCCCTTCTCCTGAAATACTCTTCCCTACACTAGCAGCATGACTCATTCCCTCATCACCTTAGGCCTCCACTCCTATGTCACCTCTTCACAGGGCTCTTCCCCAAGCACCATATACAAAATGACAAAACCGGGCGCCTGGGTGGCTCAGTTGGTTAAGCGACTGCCTTCGGCTCAGGTCATGATCCAGGAGTCCCTGGATCGAGTCCCACATCAGGCTCCCTGCTCGGCAGAGAGTCTGCTTCTCCCTCTGACCCTCCCCCCTCTCATGTGCTCTCTCTCTCTCTCTCATTCTCTCTGTCTCAAATAAATAAATTAAAAAAAAAAAGATTTAAAAAAAACCAAAATGACAAAACCTCCCATCCCTGTCTCGGCATCCCCATCTCTCTGCACTTAACATCCCCTGAAAAAAGTATACTATACTATATTATACTATAGTATACTATCTCACCCACCTCCATGAGGGCAGTGATGTGGAATATCTGTCCATCCCAGTGCCCACACGGTGCCTGACACATAGTGCATGCACAAAAAAGACTTGAATGGGGCGAAGGGTAAGCGTCTGCCTTCGGCTCAGGTCATGATCCCAGGGTCCTGGGATCGAGTCCCGCATCAGGCTCCCTGCTCCTTGGGAGCCTGCTCCTCCCTCTGCCTCTCTCTCTCTCTCTCTCTCTGTCTCTCATGAATAAATAAATTAAAAAAAGTTTAAAAAAAAAAAAAGAGTTGAATGAATGAATGAACAAACACACAAATGAATGAACGAATACCTGGCGATTGGTAGGAGGTGGGGCCTGCTGGACCGCTGTGGGGGCCGCCGAAGGCGTGTAGATGCTGTTAGTGGCCAATGAGGCCGTGGCCAGGGGAGGGGCGTTCCCCTGGCACTGTTCCCGCTTGTGGGTCATAAATGCCGGCAGCGAGTTGAACTGCTTCTTACACTTCCCGCAGAGAAAAACATCCTCATCATCTAGGGGTCACACCCACACGGAAGCAGAGGGAGAGGAACATTGATAAAAAGCAAGATACATGAGAGGGCATCACAGTGAGAAACGGGAAAACCTAACAGCAATCTGTGACCCAGCGTGCTTGTGTCAAGTGCCAACTCTGTGCTTCCAAAAGGAGATTTCAAAACCAAATAGGCAACTGCAGGAATATCCAGCCATGTCTACCCAGGTATCGAAAAATTAGAACTCAGGAAATAGTGGAGTGGGTACGCTTCAAAGCTGAGAAATTCAGAATCTTTATCCCGCCTGAATTTGTTCATCAGTCCCCAAATGGGCTACATGACCTTCTACGTCTCTGCATCCCGTTCCCCCTGCAAGCTGCTTCTCTCAGAACAACTTACTCCGCAAGACTCTGCTCAGATGTCACCTCCTTCAGGAAGCCTTCCTAAAGCTAGCTGCCATAGTTTCTTCCGCTGGGTGCACTGCTCATCTCACACTCTTCCCAGCACCAGCAAACCATGAGTCCTCCGAAAGGGAGGGAATGAGGCTTACTTATTACCATAACTGCAGTATCTCCTGGGTAACACAGGAGGCCCTTGATGGGTATTTACTGAATGAGTGAAAAACTCAATGAATGATTAGCTATAGTGGACACCAGCCACTGAGCGGTGCCAAGCACTCGACATGTTGTGGCAAAAATGTCTTGTCATTCAACATCCACTCTTCCTTCTTAGATAGTAAGAGTGGGAAACATGACCATCTAACTAAAGACTTTATCTCCCAGCCTTCTTTGCAGCTAGACATGTCATGCGACTGAATTCTGACCAATAGGACGAGAGCAAAAGTATAGTGTCTATGCAACTTCCTTTTAAAAGGAAGGCATAACGTTTCCCGATTAAATACAACATAAGTTGTAGGGGTGCCTGGGTGGCTCAGTCATTAAGCGTCTGCCTTCGGCTTGGGTCATGATCCCAGGGTCCTGGGATCGAGCCCCACATCGGGCTCCCTGCTTTGCGGGAGGCCTGCTTCTCCCTCTCCCACTCCCCCTGCTTGTGTTCCCTCTCTCGCTGTGTCTCTCTCTGTCAAATAAATAAATAAAATCTTTAAAAAAAAAAAAAAGAGAAATAACTTCTGGGTCAAAGGTACATGCATTCCCATTTAGCCATTCCCTATGTCATGATCCTCACATTCGCTAAGTGATTGAGGAAGTGTGTCCTCATTGCTAAGCAGAGAAAAGCATGAGCCTGAAGACCCAGGCTGGGAGGAAGGGGAGAAGGTTCAGACACCAGATGGTATCCTGGGCACCCCAGTTGGCAATTCACTCTTATACCCCTTCATGAGTCCCACCTGTTTTTCACAGGGAGCTACCCACCCTTCCCACCAGTGAACCGTGAACCTGAGCAGATACTCACCCAATGGCTGGATAGCAGGAGGTGCACTGACACTCTGGCCTGTTGGATCAGGGACTGCTCCTTGGCCATCCAACAATGACTGGACCGCCAAGACGGTCTGATTGTCCATTCCTGAAAAAAGAAACGGTGTCTCTGACTTCCCCCTTATGAGCCAGACCCAACACGAGCTCTCTGTGGCAAAGACAGCTGGCTGTGCCCCAATATACATTCTCTCCTACTTCCATTGCAATAGAATCCAAAATTTTTGACTGAAAATGTGGCCCCCCCACAATAAAGATTACATTTCCCGGGCGCCTGGGTGGCTCAGTTGTTAAGCGTCTACCGTCGGCTCAGGTCATGATCCCAGAGTCCTGGGATCGAGTCCCGCATCGGGCTCCCTGCTCGACGGGAGGCCTGCTTCTCCATCTCCCACTCCCCCTGCTTGTGTTTCCTCTCTCACTGTGTCTATCTCTGTCAAATAAATAAATAAAATCTTAAAAAAAAAAAGATTACATTTCCCAACTGCTCTTGCAGCTAAAGAATGTCTAAATTCTGGACAATGGGATTTAAGGAAAGGTGTTTTATGGTGGTATCTGGGAAGTTATCTTAAATCTGCCTAGTATGTGATGCCCTTTTTTGCTCCATCCTCCATCCTGCTTCCTACAACAAGAATATGATACTGGGGAAGTCTAGCCACCATCCCATATCATAAAGTAAAGGGCCATACCCTAGGAATTGCAGGGCAAAAGCTGGAAAGATCCTGGGCCTCTGAGAACCTTGTAGAACACAGCCATCCTTGGAGCTCTGGACCGTCTTCCTCTGGACTCCCATACAGAAATTTCCCATAGAGAAATAAACTGCTAGGGGCGCCTGGGTGGCTCAGTCGGTTAAGCGTCTGCCTTTGGCTCAGGTCATGATCCCGGGGTCCTGGGATCCAGCCCCACATCCGGCTCCCTGCTCAGCGGGGAGACTGCTTCTCCCTCTCCCTCTGCCTCCTACTCTGCCTACTTATGCTCTCTATCTCTCTGTCAGATAAATAAATAAAATATTTAAAAAAGAGAGAGAGAGAGAAATAAAACTCTACCCTGTTTAAACCACTGCTAGATTGGACTTCTCTCTTCCTCAGGGAACAGTCTGGTCCTAAATCATAAGCCCTTCCACAAATCATGTTACCGAGTCTTCCCATCCTACCCTACAAATCCCACAAATCTGTTTGCACTTGGGCGTCCTTGCTTCCCTTGTTTTCCAACGTGTATTGCTCTTTTCAGTTCCTCAGTAAACAGTGTAAATCTGAATTTACGGTCAGGGCACCCATGAGAGGCTGCGTACTTCCATGTTTTCCAATCAGTTGTCACTGCTGCTGAGGTTCACAGTAGTACACTGTCTAGCCATGTCACCAGCTGGAGGACAGGTCTCCTCACATCTAAGTGGCCACCAAAGCACACTGCCTCCCTCCCAGAAAACCCAGAGGATGCCTCCTTCTCTCTGTCCCCACAGCCAATGCTCTGCTTCCAACCTCTCAGCTTTTACCTGGACACCTGCTCCAGCTTCTAAAGGCAACGGAAATTAGAACCATTAGTTGCTGCAGCCGAAGTGAATCCGTATTTTCTCTCGTCACAATGCATACTGTGTCTCTCCTGAGGCCAGCTCTCCCCTCCAACCCCTCCTGCTCCCTCAGAAACCACTCTCCACCAACTGGTCCCTTTCTTCACGGTATGCCTGCAACCTCTCCCTCCCATCAACAGCACACATGCTCAGGTCTCTCTAGAATGCCCACTCTTGAACCCGTGTTCCCATCTCTCCTCCCTTCAACATGAATCATCCTTCTATCTCCTCTACCCACCTCCCAATCCTCCTCTACCCACCTCATGGGGCTTAAGCCCCCAGCATTCCACCAAAATCACCCAAGAATGCCTGGCAGCATTGGACATTCCTTCCTGAGACACTCCTTCTCTGACTCTAGGATACCTCCCTCCTGGGTCTTCTCCCACCTCTCTGCTCACTTCTTCACAGACTGCTAAGCTCTCTTCTGTCCATTCCCTAAATGTTTGTTTTTGAAAGGTTCCTTCAGTCTGGATTCTCTCTCCTCTCCCTGGGCAGACTCATTCACCTCCCATCTAGTTCTCCCCAAAATCTAGAGTCCCAAACCTGGGGCTTGCTCCCCTGGATGAGCTTCAGTAAATCTTCTCCTATTTTAGGCAAAATTGTGAGTAGATTAGCATTTGTATGCAAATCTGTATATGAGTATTCACAGCAGTTTTATTCATAATAGTAAAAAACTGGAAACAACTCAGATGTTCCTCAATGGGTGAATAAACTGTGGTACATCCATACCATGGACTACAGCTCAGTAATAAAAAGGAACGAACTACTGATATGCACAATAACTTGGGTGAAACCCCAGGGAATTACGATAAGTGGAAAAAAGCCAATTTCAAAAGTCATATACTATACGATTCCATTTACATGACATTCTTGAAATGACAAAATTTTAGAACCGGAGAACAGATTAGTGGTTGACAGACATCAGGGATGACAGGGAGAGGGGAAGGAGGTGGGTATGGCTACCAAAAGGCAGCCTTTTATAGTGATGGAACTGTTCTGTAGTATGTTGTGATAGAAAATAGTCTTGCACAATGTTACATTGAGGGAAACTAGGTAAAGGGTATATATGAATATACAGAAAAAAACCACAATGATCTCAAAATAAAAAATTTGATTCAAGGGGTGCCTGGGTGGCTCTGTTGGTTAAGTGTCTGCCCTCGGCTCAGGTCATGATCCCAGGGTCCTGGGACTGAGCCCCATGTTGGGCTCTCCATTTAGCGGGGAGCCTGTTTCTCCCTCTTCCTCCGCCTGCCACTCCCCCTACTTGTGCACTCGCTCTCGCTCTCTAATAAATAAAATCTTTAAAAAAATCTTTTTAATTTTGATTCAAAAAATACTGTCTGTTAAAACTATAGAGACAATCAGAAGATCAGTGATTGCCGGGGGTTTTGGGGGAGAGCTGAACAGACAGAACACAGAGGATTTTTAGAGCAATGAAAATACTCTGTGATAATATTGTAATGATGGATATATTTCGTTGTACATTTGTCCAACAGAATGTGCAACACCCAGAGTGAACATTAAGAAAAACCATTGACTGGGCACCTCGATGGCTCAGATGGTTAAGCGTCTGCCTTCGGCTCAGGTCATGATCCCAGGGTCCTGGGATCAAGTCCCGCATCAGGCTTCCTGCTCAGCGGGAGGCCTGCTTCTTCCTCTGCTTCTCTCTCTCTCTCTCATGAATAAATAAAATCTTTAAAAAAAAGGAAAAGAAAAACCATTGACTTTGGATGACTATGATGTGTCAGTGTAGATTCGTCCTTGGTAGCAAATGTACCATTCTGGCAAATTATGTTGATAATGGGGGAGGCTAGTCATGTGTGAGGTCAGAGGCTATTCAGGAAATCTCTGTACCTTCCTTTCAACTTTGTTGTGAACCTAAAGCTGCTAAAAGTAAAAAATAGTCTTTTTAAAAATGCTGCCTGTCTAAAACTGAGCTCAAACTAAGTGTGTCACCCTCACCCCTCAGTTTAACCTCTTCCAGTAATCCTCCTCAACAATAATAAGCACTAATGTCCACCCAGCCACAGCCCCTGGGGCACCCCTTGATTCTTTCCCCAACCTGTTCCCCTGCTCCTCCTCATTTCTAGTCCTTCAGCAAGTCTAGCCTATTCTGCCTCCACTGCCTCTCTCAGATCCACTTTCTTCCATCCCGCAGCTGTCCCCCTGGCTCAGGCCACCATCGGTTCTCAGCAGGACAACTGCAGCTACTTCACTCACCTCCCTGCTGCCACTCTGGCCCCCTCCAGTGTGTCCTCAGAGCAGCCTGAGTGAACTTTATAAAACATACATCAGATTGTGCTGCTCCCCTGCCGAAAACCCTTTCTCAGCTCCACAGTGATTCCAAGATAAAGTTCACAAGTCTCATCTCTAGCTCCTCACTCACATGAACTTCTGTGAATCCTTGAAGACCTCTCTTCCCCCAGGGCTTTGTAAATGCAGTTCCTACTGCCTGGGTCATCTCTGAGTTCCCCACAGTTCTGCTGTCCTTGCTCTAGCCCAGCATGCATCACACTGTCCTAGGAACTGATTTTTCTTTTAATTTCTTCATCACTCAATACGTGGATACATTCTTGTAGTGAAAATTCAAACATGGAGGACGTCCATGGAAACTAAAGAGAAAGTAGGCCTCACCCTATTCTATTGGTCTCCTGGAGGGAACCACACTGACCCTGGCCCCCCACATCCATCACCCATAATAGCACCAAATGCCAGCTAAGGCAATCTTTTATGGTTTACCTTTTCTACAATTCTGTAATTTCAAGAGTTGCTTGTTCTATAATTTCTGTATGCTTCCCTCCCCTCACATGCCCCCTGCCCTGACTGTGGAGCAGGAATTGTGTCTGGCTCAGTGAGTATTCCTGAGATTAAAATTCTCGAGATGGCGGTAGGGTTTACCCCCATTTTATGGTGAGAACTCTGATCCTCTAAGAAGTGAAGAGACATGGCTGAGATGTCCTACAGGACTAAGTCTCAGCTACATACTACTAGTCTGGCCAACTTTCAGCCTTCACCCTAATTATGTGTACACTGATCTTATCAGTGCACACATCTCGTCCGTATCCGCCTGCATCTACCCTGTGCCAGGGTCCTAAAGTCACGGACTCCTCCCCACCCACCTATGTTCCGCAGGTGCACAGGGAGGCCTTCAGTGTCGGTTGTCTCCAAAGCCCAAATTCCCTGCACCTGGGGTTCATTTCCATGCTAGGAACCTCCAAAGCACAGGACAATCAGTTGGCGCCCAGTGTTTATAGGTTTCCGTCTGAGGGCACTGTGTCCCAGCCAAGCACACCGTTGCCACCCATCGTTTCTTGGTCTGAGTGTATAAAACTCTGCACCCCAGCACGGTGCACAAAATAGGCGCCTAGTGTTTGTTGCTTTGGGTCTGTGAGCACCGAGTCCTGGCCTTGCACACAGGTAGCACCTATCCTTTCCTGGTCTGATTTTGAGAAACTACCTCAAGGCCTGAGGCACAGTTGGCGCTCGATACAAGGTCTTCGTGATCAGTTAGGCTGCTTCAGGCGCCAAGCCTCTCCCGCCCCCGCACCCCCGTCCCCCCCTCAGCGCAACCTTGGCGGGTGCCTGGCTTCCACGCTGCGGCCTCCCCGGCTGTTCCCTCCAGGAAGCCCCTCCCGCGCCGGCCCGAGGCCCTCGCGGTTGACGCTGTTCCTGTCCAAGGCCTTTCCCCCCTCCGCCCCAGCCATGCCTACCCAGCTGTTCTGCCCCGGTGCTCCCCCGCCCCCCCAGGGCTTTCTCTCCTCGCTGTTCCCGTCCCGTTGTCCCCCTTGCGCCGGCCCTCGGCTCCCGCGGCTGTTCTGGTCTCATGCCCCCGCCCTCCGCCATTGAGCCTTATCTCCGCCGCTGTTCCGGTCCCGGTGCCCACCCCCCCGCCGGGCCTAGTCTCCCGCGGCTGTTCCCGCCCGTGCCCCTCCCGCCCCGCGGCTGTTCCGGCCCCGGCGCCCTCCGCCCCGCGGCCGCCGCGCGCCCTGGGCCCGGCGCTGCGAGGACGCGGCGGGAGGGGGCGCAACGCGGAACAGCCGCCTCCCCAGGCCCCGCCGCCGCTCACCCTCCAGGGCCTCGAAAATCGTCTGCGCCATCTTGGAGCTGCCGCCGTCTCGGGAGCCGATGCGGGGCTACGTGAGCATTGTGGGAACCGCGGCGGGGCCAGGGCCGCCAGGGGGCGCTCGGGTACTGCCGCCGAGCCCCCCCGTCCGGGAAATTCAGCCATGGCTCCCCCGGATAACCCAGTCACCGGCATGTGGAGCCCCATCCCTGTCTCACTTGAATCCCCAATTCTGCACACGGGCCCCATCCCAGCCGCACACAGCGGATCTCCCAATTGGGTATTGGACCCCTAATATTATCTGGACCTGCCACCCCCGCCCCTGCACGTGAGACCCCCAGTTATGCAACATGGAACTTATTTCCACCGCACACAGTATCCCCCACCTAACCCGGACCACCCAACTCTGTGACAAGGACTTCCACCTAACCCAAGACCCCTGCCTTAGCTGTGCAACACTGATTCTCACTCCTTATCATACACTTATTGTCCCCAACTACAGTGAGCCCCATCCATCACACCTACTGGGAGTCACCTATCTCCTGAAGTGCCTCCCATCTCAACCTGGTCTTAATCCCCGATCATCTCAGACATTCACCCATGGCTGTTGCTTAACCCTCCATTTTCACCTTTTGGGGACCTCCATTTCCTCTTCATCCAGACCAGCCCTGCCTCCTGGGGACTCCATTCTGTCAATAAAACCCCGATCCCGCCTTAGCAACCTTCAGCCCAGCCTTACAAAAAGCCTATCCAGGTCTCCCAGGGATTTCCCCCCACTCCAGTCCTCATTGGGGCACCCCCCCCATCCAACACCGCTCTCTCTTCATAGTTCATGCTCCATTAGCCACTAATTGGGAGTTTACTATGCACCAAGTCCTATAACAGCTCCAGGATCCAGTGCTCCTTTCCCTTGGAGTTAGGGGTGGGGGAAGCAGAGAGACATTAACTCTTAAAAATTAATTACCAGGTGTGACAGTGGTTCCAAAGAAGTACACTTGGACCACAGGGAAGAGTTGGGAAATGTGTTGGAGGGGAGAGGCAACCAGGGAGGTGCCCTCAATCATGATCTATGAATGTGGCCAAATCCTCCAATTGGCTATTGGATTTGACTCTAAATGTTCTCATTGTTTTTTCTTAAATACCTATTTTAGTCTCATCCAATGTAATAACCATAAGAATCACAATTTTCATTTTCTCATATTCACTAAATAAATATGTAACTCCTAAGAGTAAAAAAAAAATTTTTTTTTTGTTCAAAGGTCCTTTGCCCTTATGGAACATTACTAGCCACTGTTCCTGATGAGTTGCCTCACAGACCCTCCACCTACACACCCCCTCAAGGCCCATTTCTACTGGTGAACTCCCCATCTTGCCCCAAATACCACCCCTGTTTCCCCCAACACTACACCCCTTCCCCTTCCTATTTACCCTTGCACAGCAAGCCTTGAGCAAATGTCCCCCACAGAGAACCTACCATTTTCCCAGGTTGTATGCCTCACCCTCTTTCCGGGGGAACTTTGGAGACCCAGGGCCCTCCTCAAGCCCTAAACCCCCCTTTCCATTGCCTCTCTGACAGGAGTCAGGCCAGGGTTCCCACCTCCATGTCTTTCCTTTAACATCCCCATTGATCCAATGGCCTCAGATTCTCGTCATCTCCCCCCTTCAAGAGCTTCTCAATATAACTGTTCTTTTTAAAAATTATTCAAGTACTATATTAATATATTCACACTCATTTAATTAGAATTGACCCTTGAACAACAATGGGGGTTGGGGCACCAAACTTGGGGCACGATTGAAAATCCTGTATACAACTTTTGACTCCTCAAAAATGTAGCTACTAATAGCCTACTGTGACCAATAGCATAAAGTCGGTTAACAAATATTTTGTATGTTATATGTATTATATACTGTATTCTTATAATAAAGCTAGAAAAAAGAAAATGTTAAGAAAATCATAAGGAAGAGGGGCATCTGGCTTGCTCAATTGGTAGAGCATGTGACTCTTGATCTCAGGGTTGTGAGTTTGAGCACCACATGGGGTGTAGAGATTACTTAAAAATAAAATCTTTAGAAAATGGAGGGGGCACCTGGGTGGCCCAGTAGGTTAAGCTTCTGACTCTTGGTTTCACTTAGGTCACTGTCTCAGGGTTGTGAGATTGAGCCCTGAATCAGGCTTGGTACTCAGCGTGGAGTCTGCTTGGGTTTCTCTCTCTCCCTCCCCCTCTGCCCATCTCTCCACTTGTGCATGCTCTCTCTCTCAGATAAAGTAAATCTTTAAAAAAAAGAAGAGAAAATACATTTATAGCACTGTACTGTAAAAAATTCACCTGCACAGTTCAAACCCATGTTGTTCAAGGGTTAACTGTAATTTAAAATATTTATTACAGGGGCGCCTGGGTGGCTCAGTTGATTAAGCCTCTGTCTTTGGCTCAGGTCATGATCCCAAGGTCCTGAGATCAAACCTCACATCAGGCTCCCAGCTCAGCGGGGAGCCTGCTTCTCCCTCTCCCTCTGTCCCTCTCTCCACTCATTCTCTCTCTCTCTCTCTCCCCCAAATAAATAAAATCTTAAAAAATAAAATAAATAAAATATTTATTATATACATATTGTGTTAGACATCATTCTAGATGCTGGGGACACAGCCATGAACATAAAGACAAAAATCCTTGCTTTCGTGGAGTCATAGTCCTGCAGGCAAGATGGACTATAAACAAGAAAAAAAAAAAGAAATATTCTGTGATTATATATTTTCTTTCCTCTGCAGGAAAGGAAGCTACTTTGGACAGGGTGGTCAGGGAAGGCCTCTCTGAGGAGGTGGACTTGAGAAATGATATGGAGTCACATGGAGAAAAGGAAACATGCAGAGGTTATTAGCTATATCATCTTGGGCAAGTGCAAAGACCCTGAGGTCTAAATGAAAGAAGGCCAAAGAATGTAAAGGAACAACTGAGGATAATAAGTGAGGGATGAGGATGAGGATGGAGAGACAGACAAGGCCAGTGTGAGGGTCGAAGTTTAGTTCTGAGGGTGATGGGAGGCACTGGACAGTAAAAGTTTCCACTAATACAGTCTTGACAGTTTTCCATATATTTCCATATATCCAGGTGTATGTGCACATAGTTGATTTTTATCTCTTCCTCAGGACTTTGCAAATTCTGTTCTCTCTTACCAAAATGCTGTTCTTCCACCCTCATTGGAACAACACAAGCTTGCCTTTGTGCCTCCTCTAGAAAGCTTTCCATGATCTCCCTGGATGGGATCCCTCCCTCCCTCGCTGTTCCCGTTTCTCACAGTACCTGGTACTACTGCTGTCATGTGATACTTTTCTTGGAAATTCCCCTTTCCTCCAACCCCTCAATAGGAGCTCTCTGAGCCAGGGAGGTACTGCATCCATTCTGGTTGGAACTCAGAGCTAGACACAGAGGAACCTGAGAAATGCTTGTTAATTGACCACCTGGCTGGGGCGCCTGGGTGGTTCAGTCATTAAGCGTCTGCCTTCGGCTCAGGTCATGATCCCAGGGTCATGGTATCGAGCCCCGTGTCGGGCTCCCTGCTCCGCGGGAAGCCTGCTTCTCCCTCTCCCACTCCACCTGCTTATGTTCCCTCTCTCACTGTGTCTCTCTCTGTCAAATAAATAAATAAAATCCTTTAAAAAAAATTGACCACCTGGCTGATATAATAACTGAATGAGGTTTCAGGGATGTAGAATCCATTTCCAGCAGGCTCCCCATTCAGGCTGACTCCTGCTCTGAACTTTCTGCTCCTCACCTCCATCTCTTCCTCCACCCAAATATGTCAGTCCTATTTCCTTAAGGCCCACTGGTTGGCACTGAACTGAATCAAATCACAGCTTAGAGACTCCTGGTATAACTAATGTGGTAATTCTAGGCATGGAGCCAAGTAGGGAAGAAGGAAAGTTTGGGAAACTTCCAGTGTCCCCCTCCACAATGAGTGCTCCTGCCACCCCAGAAAAGTTAACTTCTCCATGCGGAGGGGAGAAATCATGAGCAGCTTAAACCAGAGTCCCAGTTACAAGGGAAAGGAAGTAAGGACACACATAGCAATGCTGGGCCCTGACATCTTGTTCATTGGCATTGGTAGGAGACAGCAAAACATGGTGGTTGCTATGGGCTGAATTGTTTCCCCCCAGAATTCATAGACTGACATTCTAACCCCTAGTACCTCAGAATGTGACTGTATTTGGATATTGGGCCTTTAAAAGAAGTATTTAAGATTAAACAAGGTTATATAAGTGGGTCCTAATCCAGTATGACTGGTGTCCTTATAAAAAGAGGAAATTTGGACACAGGTATGTACAGACCATGTGAAGACACAAGGAGAAGACAGTCATAGAAACCTTTCAGTGTTTTTCAGGGGAAAATTTTTATATTTTATGTAACATTGCCACTATTTTCAGAGGAAGGATTACCTGAATAAACCAGTCCACTATTACTGAAAAGGAAGGAAGGAAGGAAGGAAGAAAATCCAGTTTCGGTGCTAAAATAGGCCAAGTATAATTCCTCCTTCACTGACCTCTGACACCATCTTCTGACACTGACCCAGGCAATAATATCCCAGATAAATACCACATGGCCCAAGTCCTGGGGGATACCCTCACAAGCCACAGCCACCACTCAATGTGTAGCTGTGATCCAGTGACAACTCCACATAGTGACACACACAAATTCCACCCACCAGTACTCTGGGAGATGTCAACCCCAAACTGTATTGCTTCAACAAGCATATGTTGGACACCCACCATGTGCTAAGTGCTGGGGTTACAGCAGAAAACAAGACAGACAAGGTTTCTGCGGTCATGGAATTTACAGCCCGGTAGGGGCAATGGACGATGGAAATGTAGCAAACAAGTAATTTCAAAAAGTGAAAAGCTGTATGACGGAACTAAAAGAGAGGGCAGTGCTACTTTAGATGGGACATCTAAGAAGCTCTCTCCGAAGAGGTGGCATTTGATCTGAAACCTGAAGATTGAAAAGGAGCCCACCATGGGGGTAATGCATACCAGTCAGGAAAATACTAGGTGAAAAGGCGCTGAGACAGGAGCCGCCTTGGCATGCTCAAGGAACGGCAAGGAGACCAGTTTGGCTGGAGAGGAGTGAGTGAGGGGCCAAGTGACAGGATATGAGGTTAGAGAAGGAAGCAGGGGCCAGATTATAGTCTTTCTTGTGGACTGTGGGAAGGAGTTTGGATTTGAAGAATAAATGGAAGCCCTTGAGATCTCATGATTTATGCCCTAATAAGTTTGCTAGGAGCACTGTTACCCAATCAGAACAGTTTTGTGTAAAGACTTGTGAGGCCTGGCTCCTCCCAGTGTCACCCTCCCGATTCTAGGGAGGGCGGCTCCTCTTTCAAGAAACGTCCTTTCAAGCTCTCAGGTGACATACCTCCCGCCAAGCACGAAGGAAACAGGCTGCCTGGTTGGACAAATCCACGTGTGTGATTCGGGCTTTCTTAGAGCTGGTCGGGCGGAGCCCGTTGTGATTGGTTACAAACTCTCCACTCTTCCAATCAGACCGCTATTCGGGAGAGTGCGTGCATCTCGTTCCCCGTGTGAGACGAGTGAGCCATTTGATCGGCTCTTCCCGTGAGAGTGGCAGCAGACGCAGCCTATGAGCGCAAAGACGCGCTGCTCGGTCCAGTGCGGCCAGCGGCGCCGCCGGAACCCGGGGCTGTCAGTGCTGGTGCTGCTGCTCTCTCCCCACCCCGGGCGTCCCTCGCACTATGGCGGTCCCGCCGCAGCTACGAGCCCTGCTCCATGCGGTCAACGAACTGTTGCGCAAGCGCCGCTACCACGCTGCTTTGGCCATGCTTAAGGGCTTCCGGAACGGGGCAGTGTGAGTGGGGCCGTTGGGCTGGGCATGGGCTGAGGGATGGGTGCGCTTTGTGAGGTAGGAGGACCGGATTCTGGGCGCGTTGCCCCCCTGTGTGCCCTTGAGCAGCCCTAGTGTGTTTCTAGGCCTCGGTGTCCACCATCTGCCCAGTGGGCGCTGGGGATTTGGGGTTCCTTGCGCCTTCTGAGCTGCGGCTCCCATTAAGCTGTGTCTGGGTCCTCCGTGCTTTGCAACCTGGGGCACTTGCCTTGACCACCTCCCACTCCAGCCTCTGTATCCCCTCGTTGGGGCCGACCCCCACCCCACCCCGCCTGCTTTGTGACCTTGGGTCTGTCTGGCTTCAACGGCCCTATCTGCACAATGAGAAGTGGCCACTGGCATCTAGCAGGCCAGCGGCGCGTTGTGTGCATGCTCCCACCATTAAGCTGCCTGTGGGCTCACATCCCACATCTCACTCCCCATCCGTATGACTCTAGCTCTAAGTCCCCATCCGGCCCAGGGGACTCCTGGGGCATAAGCCTGAGGAGTGACAACGACTGTAAAAGAAAGTGCAGCTGTTTGCTGGGCAAATTGATTCCACCCTGGCCATCAGATCTGCTGGAAAGGAGGTCTTGGGGTCATTTCACCTGGCTGGTAACTGCAGGGAGCTCCCCCTCCTTTAAAACTCATGCATAACAGTATCTTTTGTTGAGCACCTACTGTGCCAGAACTGGGGATGCAACAGAGAACAAACTGAACAAAGACCTGTACTCTTGGAGTTGACATGCTAGTGGCAGCATGGCATGTGGTGAGAGTACCTCTGGACTGCCTCTGCTCGAATCTTGGTACCACCTACCTGTGTGATCTTTTTTTTTTTTAAAGATTTTATTTATGGAGGCGCCTGGGTGGCTCAGCTGGTTAAGCAACTGCCTTCGGCTCAGGTCATGATCCTGAAGTCCTGGGATCGAGTCCCACATCAGGCTCCCTGCTCAGCAGGGAGTCTGCTTCTCCCTCTGACCCTCTCATGCTCTCTGTCTTTCATTCTCTTTCTTGCAAATAAAATCTTAAAAAAAAATTAAAGATTTTATTTATGTATTTGACAGAGAGAAAGAAAGCGCACGAGCAGGGGGAGAGGCAGGAGGCAGAGGGAGCAGCAGACTCCCCACTGATCAGGGAGCCTGGTGTGGGACCCGATCCTGGGACCCTGGGATCATGACCTGAGCTGAAGGCAGATGCTTAACGACTGAGCCACCCAGGCGCCCCTAAGCTATTTTAGTTTTCATTTTTTTAGGCCAACTGAATCTACTGATAGCCACTATAGAGTGTCTCCTGTACACAGATTCCCAGGAAAATAAAGCAGAAGAAGATGAGGAAGGAAAGGGAGAGTAATGTGTATTTCCTGCAGAGAGGGGATAGTTCTGGTCTGCTGCTGTTTTCTCGGTGGTAGGGATGAATTTGCACAGGTCATTTCTCATCTCTCCAGTCACCTCAGTGGGGGCCTTAAAGTTTTTATTCAGTCATTTGACATAGAGAGAGCAAGAGAGGGAACATAAGCAGGGGGGAGTGGGAGAGGGAAAAGCAGGCTTCCCACTGAGCAGGGAGCCTGATGCGGGGCTCGATCCCAGGACCCTGGGATCACGACCTGAGCTGAAGGCAGATGCCTAACGACTGAGCCACCCAGGCGCCCCAAGATTTATTTATTTTAGAGAGAGAGGAAGAGCACTGGGTGGGGAGGGGCAGAGGGAGAGGGACAGAGAGAATCTCAAGCAGACTCCCGTCTGAGTGTCCTGAGTGCAGGGCTCAATCTCACCACCCTGAGGTCATGACCTGAGCCGAAATCAAGAGTTGGATGTTCAGCTGACTGAGCCACCTAGGAACTCCTCAATTATTTTAATTTTAAAAGCAATGCTTAACCATTACAGATCATTTTGGAAATACGGAAAAGTTAAAAAAAGACAAAAGTAAATTCCCATATTCCTCCAGCTCAGGGAACATTGCTAATAACATTGTGGCATATTTCCTTCCAGTCTTTTTTTTTTCTTAATCCATTTTTACAAAGCTGAGGTCCTCCTGTGTATCATAGTTGGAAAGAGGTACACTTTGAATAAGTAGAAGGAGGTACGATGTTACTCAGCAACTGTTTTAGGGAATTTGTTAACTTTAAGATAGACCAAGCTAAATTCCAGAAATTACCTTCCCTCACAAATAATTAAGGGCAGTTCTAGAATCAGTCAGCAATCATGTATGGAGCACATTACTATATGTCAAGTACCATGCAAGGTGCTGGGGACTCTGCAGAAGACAAATCAAACACGGTCCCTCCCTCACAAGGCCCACGGTCTAGTGGAGGAAAGAGATAATTAGAATAGAATAGGGGCACCTGGGTGGCTCACTCGGTTAAGCGGCTGCCTTCAGCCCAGGTCATGATCCCAGGGTCCTGGGATCGAGTCCCGCATCGGGCTCCTTGCTCATCAGGGAACCTGCTTCTCCCTCTCTCTCCCTCTGCTTGTGCTCTCTGTCAAATAAATAAAATCTTTAAAAAAAAAAAAAAGAATAGAATAAGTAATTACGAGTAATCGAGTCATTAACCCAGGACTGTAAACCACTGCAGAGAAGGTTGGAGCTCCATGGCAATGAAAATATTGCCCTAAACCTCGTCTGGTGGGTAAGAAGCCTCCACAGAGGTGCCCACTGAGACTGGAAGGCTGAGGAGTTGGCTGCCGCGTGAGGAGCAGGGAAGAGCAGTCCGGGCTGAGGGAACAGCCTGCCCAGAGGCAGGGAGGAAGCTGGTGGGTCAGAGGAACTAGGGGAAGGCCACGGGGCTGGAGCAGGAGAGGAGGGGCGCTGGAGGTAGGAGAAGTAAGCAGGGGCCAAATCCTGCAGCACTTTCAAGGCTGTGGGAAGAACCTGGATTTTATTCTGTGAGTATTGGAAAGGTATTGGCCACTTTGAAGAGGGGATGTGATATGATTTAAGCGTTAAAAAAGATGGGTCTGACTGCAACGGGAAGGTCAGGGTAGAACCGAGGGAGCAACTCCACACCAGTGGGGTTGGATGGGGTCGGTGGAGGCGTTTGACACACGTTGTCCCCTTTCATTGAAATTATAGCCGGCCCTCTAGCCTGATGTCCCCTTTTGCTGTTAGGCAAACCGAGGCTCAGAGAAGTGAAGTAGCAAGCCTGAGGCCCCACTCCTACGAAGGTGTCAGAACTGGGGTTTGAACCCAGATCTAACTTGGAAGCCAGCATTATCTTCCCTTCCAGGGTGACGTTCGGATTAGGGCTGGAGGCGGGTGGGGAAAGGCGTCAGAGAGCCTAGAAAGAAACTGTGAGGCAGTGATGCCATAATAACTGTTTCCTTTCATTTCTGCAGCTATGGAGCCAAAATCCGGGCCCCTCACGCGCTCGTCATGACATTTCTCTTCCGGAGTGGCAGGTACCCACCCCCTCTGCACACCCCTCAGACGGGGGGAGAGTATGGTCAGCCCTCAGTGCCAGGAAGCTTGCACTACCTTCCTAGCTAGGTCTAGCCGGCCCCCCTGCCACCACCGTCTCCTCCAGTACGACTCTGATCCTATTATTCCTGCTCAAAAACTCCCCGGGCTGCCACAGTCCTCCAAAAAAGCCCAGCTTCCTTCCTTAAAAAGCCCTCTGCAGCTAGTCGTGTCGAGCCCTGGGTGGCGTATGGAGCTGTTGAATCACTGTCTCGTACACCTGAAACTAATATAACAGCCTATGTTCACTATACTGGGATTAAAATAAATTAAACACAAAACCCCAAAGGCCCTCTGCTGCCTGGGCTCAGCTGCACCCCCACACTCCTCCCTACGTCCACCTGGGAGTGTCCCGGGCCCACAGGACCCCCTGCCACGCGGCGTGTTGTTCCAGCGCCGTACATTTGCTTATGCGGTAACCCCCGCCGGGCGCACCCTTTCCTCTTCATCCTACCTTTACTTCCTTCCTGGCAGCCCATACCAGCCATGTGAGGATCACTTCCTTGGGAAAACTGTCCGTGACCTCCTTCACTCACTCAGACTGCTTGGTCTCCCTCCACCCCCATAGCTTTCCCCTCATGGCACTTCTCAGAAACCACTCTGTGGCCTGGTTTTTAACGTATGTAGCCTCACCTGGCTCTTGTAAGAAGCACACATGGACAGCCTACTGGCCAAATCCAGCTCGTAAGAGTTTCTCTTTTTCTGTTTTTATTTAGGATTGCTTTTTTTTTTTTTAAGATTTTATTTATTTGAGAGAGAGAGAGTGTATGAGCACGAGCAGGGGGAGGGGCAGAGGGAGAGGGAGAAGCAGGCTCCTCCCTGAGCATGGAGCCCGATGGAGGACTCGATCCCAGGACCCCCGGGATCATGACCTGAGCTGAAGGAAGATGCTGAACTGATTGAGCCACCCCAGCGCCCCTAGAAGCATTTGTGAAGGCAAGATTAGCACCAACACTTAACTGGAAAATCCAGCTTTCTTGCATTAGAACTGGCAACACTAGAGGCACCTGGCTGGCTCAGTCAGTAGAGCATGTGACTCTTGATCTTGGGGTCATGAGTTTGAGCTCCATGTTGGGCATAGTGTGTACTTAAAAAAAAAAATTAACAACAACAAGAAAAAACTGGCAACACCGCGCTCATGTTCCTCTGAGGCGAGAACCAGCTGACTCTTAGCTGTCCTCACTCACCTGGCAGATTTCCACAGGTTGCATTAGACCCACTTTCAAGGCCCTCATCGAGCCTTGAGAGCACTTGGTTGTATGATCCTTGAATTGACTTCCGGGAGTACTTGCTGCTCTTCTCCCTGTGTTCTCTCACCCCCCTAGTGACTTAATTTTAAAAGTTAAATAGAATCCTTGCCCAACATGGGCGCCTGGGTGGCTCAGTCGTTAAGCGTCTGCCTTCGGCTCAGGTCCTGATCCCAGGGTCCTGGGATCGAGCCCCGCATCGGGCTCCCTGCTCGGCGGGAAGCCTGCTTCTCCCTCTCCCACTCCCCCTGCTTGTGTTCCCTCTCTTGCTGTGTCTCTCTCTGTCAAATAAATAAATAAAATCTTAAAAAAAAAAAAAAGAATCCTTGCCCCCAACTTAAATGTGCACTTTTCTCAGGATAAAGACAAAACTGCATGTCCTCACTTCTCCTCACATTCTGTCCCCCCCACATTCTCTGCTCAGGCCTTGATGGTTTCTTGCTGTTCCTTTACTCCCCACTCTCTGTCCCTCCTCCAGACCTTTGCATGTGCTGATCCCTCTGCCTGGGATGCAAGCCCTCTCCCCTCTCCACCTCATTGACGACTCATCCTTCTGATCCTAGGATCATCTCTGGTCAAGGTCAAAGTTTGATCCTTGCTTTGTGATTATTTATGTTTCTCTCTCCCATCAGATCACATACCTTATAAAGGCAGCAAGCATTTTTTCCTCAGAATCCTATCCCCAATTCCAGTACGTAGTAGGCTCTCCCTTACTCCCTCGTTCATGTCCTCACCTGCTCATGCCAAAAAGTCATTTACATTTACACCTACTACGTGCCAGGCTCTGTTCTGGGCCCTGGGGATCAACAAGCCAGGTGTAGGCACCACCCTCTGGTAGCTTCCACTGGGTTGGGGTGGGAGTGGGAAGAGATTAAGCCTATTAATGTCAGCTGGTGGGAGAGCTGTGAGGGAAAAGGGGACAGAGTAGTCAGGCAAGGCCTCTCTGAGGAAGTGACATGGAGTCAAGGCCTGAACCCAGTGGGGGAGCAGCCCCAAGGACATGGAAGCTAGAGGCCTGGGGCTGGCTCAGGTTTGCATGCCCAGTGGGGGAGTGCCCTGGGAGTAGTTGGGCCACCACTCATGGGGGTTCCCGGTATTTGTTCAGCCTCCAGGAGAAGCTGCGGGCCATCCTGCAAGCCACGTACACCCACTCCCGGAACCTGGCCTGCTTTGTGTTCACCTATAAGGGGCTCTGCGCCCTGCAGGCCCACATGCAGGGCGAGACCTACCAGGTGCACTCGTTCCTGGCTGCCTTCATCGGGGGCTTGCTGGTGTTCGGAGAGAACAATAACATCAACAGCCAGGTAAAGACTCTTCCCCAGGATAGGGCTCAGGGATCAGAGGCCAGGATGGGGAGGGACGTGGTCCAGGTATAGAATTAGGGGTGGAGGTCAAAGAAGAGGAACTCTTTGCTCCCTTCCATGTCCAGGCGTCTGTGATCCACCGGTCCCTGTGTGACCTTGGGAGGGTCACTTTCCATTTCCCCATCTGTAAACCAAGCAGCTTGCTGAAACACCATGTTTCCCCAAGTCCATGTGTGTGGAGCAAAGTTTTTTTTGTTTTGTTTTTCTTTTTAATACGGAACGCTTCGTGAATTTGTGCGTCGTCCTTCTACAGGGGACTGCTAATCTCTGCGTCATTCCAGTTTTATTCTATGTGCTACTGAAACGAGTGCGATTAAAAAAAGATTAGGGGCGCCTGGGTGGCTCCGTTATTAAGCATCTGCCTTCGGCTCAAGTCATGATCCCGGGTCCTGGGATCGAGCCCCGCATCGGGCTCCCTGCTCCTTGGGAAGCCTGCTTCTCCCTCTCCCACTCGCCCTGCTTGTGTTCCCTCTCTCGCTGTCTCTCCCTCTCTGTCAAATAATAAATAAAATCTTTAAAAAAAAATCCAACAGGGCTCCTGGGTGGCTCAGTTGGTTAAGCGACTGCCTTCGGCTCAGGTCATGATCCTGGAGTCCCGGGATCGAGTCCCGCATCGGGCTCCCTGCTCAGCAGGGAGTCTGCTTCTCCCTCTGACCTTCCCCCCTCTCATGTGCTCTCTCATTCTCTCTCTCAAATAAATAAATAAAATCTTAAAAAAAAAAATCCAACAGACTAAGCACCCCCTGTGTGTCTGGCACACTTCTAGGTGCTTGGGGTGCATTACAATAAAATTAGAAAAGAAATTGAAAAGAAAGCTCCCATCCCCCTTCAGTTGTCAAGGCACTGTCCAGGAACACTTTAACTGTGTCCTTTTTTTTTTTTTTAAGACTTAATTTATTTTTGGAGAGAGAGAGCATGAGCGGAGGTGCAGAAGGAGAGGGAGAAGCAGACTCCTGCTGAGCAAGGAGCCCGATGTGGGGCTCGATCCCAGGACCCTGGGATCATGACCTCAGCTGAAGGCAGATGCTTAACCGACTGAGCCACCCAGGTGCCCCACTTTAACTGTGTCTTGTGTGGCCCTTCATAAATTGTCTGTGCTTGTATCTGTACATACTGGGAGTTTTCCACCAATGAGATCACGCCACACTTTTTCTTCACAGAATGATGTATTTGGGAGACCTTTCTTGTCAGTCTGTCATTCTTTTTAACATCAGCAGAACTCGCTCTTGGGTGGATGGACCAGCCTTGATTTCCCCAGTCTCCTCTGGATGGACACTTAGAGGGTCTCTAGCCTTTTGCCAGGACACACGCACTAGTCCACATCTTTGTTTGGACATCTTCTTACACGTGTCAATCCATCTGAAATTTCCTTACCCCGGAACTGTGGAATCTATCGATATGAGCATTTTGAATTTTGAGGAAGTTTCCCTAGCTTTGCTTTTTTTGTTAGAAATGTCACTGGTCTGTGAACTTCCAAGGGCTGGGGATCCTGGTCACACTATCTCCTTTCCCCTCCCTTCCTTTCCCTGACCCTTGGCCACAACTACTCTGACCTCCATTTTTAAAATTTTGTCATTTCAAAAATGTTATGTAAGTAGAGTCATTGCAGTATGTAACTTTTAGGGACTGGCTTTTTGCACGCAGCGTAATTCCCTGGAGATTCATCCATGTTGTGTGTGTATCAATAGTTCATTCCAGGGCATGGACGCCCCACACTTTAAACATTCACCCATTGAAGGACATCTGGGTTGTTTCCAGCTCTTGGCTATTAGAAATACAACTAAGAATATTCTTGTACAAGCTTTACATAGGTTTTCATTACTCTGGAATAAATGCCCAAGAGTCCAATTGCTGGGTCATATGATACATGCATGTTTAATTTTTTTAAAGATTTTTAAGTAATCTCTGTAGCCAACATGAGGCTCAAACTCAGAACGCCGAGATCAAGAGTCACACGCCCCACCTACTGAGCCAGCCAGGTGCCCTGTGCATGTTTATTATTATTTTTTTAAAGATTTTATGTATTCATTTGAAAGAGAAAGAGCTCAAGGAAAGCACAAGTCGGGAGAGGGGCAGAGGGAGAGGGAGAGGGAGAGAATCTCAAGCAGACTCCACGCTGAGCATGGAGACCCACGCAGGGCTCGATCTCAAGACCCTAAGATCATGACCTGAGCCGAAACCAAGAGTTGGATGCTTAACTGACTGAGCCAGCCAGGCACCCCCATGCATGTTTAATTTTTTAAGAAACTGCCAATCTATTTTCCAGAGTGACTGTACTATTTTACATTCCCATCAGGAATATACAAATGATCCATTTTCTCCACATCCCAGCCAGCATTTTGTTTATTGCATTTTTAATTTTAGCCATTTTGATAGGTCTGTAGTTCTTCTCATTGTGGTTTTAATTTGCATTTCTGTAACGGCTAATGATGTTGAACATCTTTACATGTGCTTATTTCCCATCTGTAGAACTAGTTCAGTGAAACATTTGTTCGCATCTTTTGCTTATTTTCTAATTGGATTGTTTCTTTTTTTACCATTGAATTTTGAGAGTTTTTTAAAAAAATATATTCCAGGTACGAGTGTTTGTCAGATATGTGTTTGCAAATATTTCTCCCAGCTGTAGCTTTTATTTTCAGCCTCTTTGTATGGGCTTTCACAACCAAACAATTTTAAATTTTGATGAGAGCCAATTTACCAATTTTTTATTTTTGTGTGGGTTGTAGTTTTTGGTGTCAGGTTACCTTTCAGTTTTGAACCATGTAAATATATTCATTTTCTAAAAATCTTAATGAACAAGAATGATAAATTACAGAAATGAATAGCAACATTAAAATACCTACTACAGGGGCGCCTGGGTGGCTCAGTCTGTTAAAGTATCTGACTCTTGATTTCAGCTCAGGTCATGATCTCAGGGTCCTAAGACTGAGCCCCGTGTCACGCCCTGCACTGAGTGTGGAGCCTGCTTAAGATTCTCTCTGTGCCTCTCCACCCCCCTTCTCTCTCTCTCTCTCTCTCTTTCTCTCTCAAATAAATAAATAAAATCTTTAAAATGCCTATGCCTGGGTGGCTCAGTCGTTAGGCATCTGCCTTCGGCTCAGGTCATGATCCTAGGGTCCTGGGATCGAGCCCCGCATCGGGCTCCTTTCTCAGTGAGAAGCCTGCTTCTCCCTCTCCCACTCCCCCTGCTTGTGTTCGCTCTCTCACTGTGTCTCTCTTTGTCAAATAAATAAATAAAATCTTAAAAAAAAATACCTACTATATATCATTTGGATCATCAAATCACTTCAAATCATCTTGCACACTAGCTTTGAAAAACACTGATCTGGGCACTTCTGGCTGGCTCAGTTGGAAGAGCATGGGACTCCTGAACTTGGGGTCGTGGGTTCAAGCCCCACATGGGGTGTAGAGATTACTAAAATAAATAAACTTTTTTTAAAAAAGATTTTATTTATTTATTTGAGTGAGAGGGAGAGAGAACAAGTGAGGAGGAGAGGGAGAAGCAGGCTCCCCGCTGAGCAGAGAGCCCGATGTGGGACTTGATCCCAAGGCTCTGGGATCACGACCTGAGCCGAAGGCAGATGCTTAACCAACTGAGCCACCTAGGCGCCCCTAAAATAAACAAACTTGAAAAAAAAGAAAGAAAAAAGAAAAACCCTGATCCTGTGTGCAGTTGTGCCCCAGGATGTGGGGTTGGGCCAAAGGTTCCCAGCGGCTGTGCCCTCCTGTAATCCCCTGTCATTCCCTCCCTGCAGATCAACATGTACCTGCTCTCCCGCCTCCTGTTTGCCCTGTGCCGCCTGGGCGTGGAGAAGGGCTACATTCCCGAGCCCAGGTGGGACCCATTCCCCCTGTTCACCGGGCTGGTGTGGGGGCTGGTGCTGTGGCTTTTTGAGTACCACCGGCCCACTCTGCAGCCGTCCCTGCAGTCCTCCATGACCTACCTGTACCAGGACAGCAATGTCTGGCATGACATCTCAGACTTCCTCCTCTACAACAAGAGCCTCCCCTCGAAGTAATGCGGCCCCGAGGTGCTGATGGGGGCTTCCACAGCCGAGATTGTCTCCATCGGTGAATCACCCCCAAAGGATCCTGCCTTCTCAAGATCATGGTTCTCAGACTCCAACTTTTATTGCCCCAGGGTTCCATTTGCCGGAGCAAAAGCACTGATTTCCAAGACCATTAGGTGCTCTCCAGTGGCGGAACGAGTGGTGAATTGGGCTGCGGGGCCTCGACGTGATTCCGGCTGTGCTGCTGGCTACTGTGAGACCAGGGAAAGACTCTCCCCCCGCCCCCGGACGTCAGGGGTCAGCGAGCTCAGAGGAGGGCCCCGAAGTCTCTTTCTGGTGGGTTATGGTCTTTGACCATTCTATGTAACAGGATTCCTTGCTGGGGGGCAGTGGGTTACAAATATGTTTTTGGAAAAAATTAAATTCCTGGGCTCCGGTGTTGCTCTAGTGGAGAAGCTCTAGAATTCCACTGTCCAATAGAAGCACAATGTGATCTGTATATGTAATTGAAATTTGTCCTAGTAGCCACATGAGAAAAGGTAGAAAGAAGCAGGTGAGATTAATGTTAGTTACAGATTTTAACCTGGTATTTCTAAAATATTATCATTTTAACATGTAAAAATGAATATAAAAATTAATGAGATATTTTATATTCTTTGTTCTTGGACTAGGTCATCAGAATCAGGTATGTAGTGTCTCCTTACAGTGTGTCTCAATGGGGACCAGCCATATTTCAAGTGCTCAGTAGCCACATGTGGCTAGTGGCTACCATATTGGATAACACAGATATGGAACACTTCTATTCTTGCAGAAAATTCTAGTGGACAGTGCAGATACAGAGCTAGGGGACATGGACTTAAGTCCCCACTCCACCACTGTGTAACCTCGGGGAAGGTTCTCAACCTCTCAGAGCCTCAGGTTCTTGCAAAATGAGGATAATCATAATACACACCCAGTGTCCACGTTGGATTTGTGTAACTACAAGAGCTGCTATTACTACTAATTACTTCCATTTAGTGAGCTCCTACTTCCTCCCGGGTGCTTTGCACGTATTATTTGTAACCCATACAATGACCTTGCCGGTGTGTATTTTGATCCTCATTTCGCAAATGTGGACACTGAGAATCAGAGGGGGGAAGTCACTTGCCCAAGATAATACAACCAGTATGATAGCCAAATCAGGGTTTGAACCCAGAGCTGTCTGAGTTTAATACCCATTTTTTTTTTCAGTGCCTTATGTTAAATTTAGAAACCTAAGCTATGCTATGCAAATGTTAACGAGTTCTAGGATGGGCTCCAGAACGGGGTGCAAATTCAAATGCCCGGAGGGTTCTGGCAAGGGGCATAAATGAAAATATTGTGCACTCGGAAGTGATGGTAACCTGGGGAACTGGAGACTCATGTGCCAGTCCGATTTTTCAAATCACTGTGCTGGACAAATCAAACCAGGTCTCCAGGAAGATGTGGTCCATGGCCCATCAATTTGAGACCCTTGGTCTAGTAGGAATACTTCAGTCTCTTTTTAGAAATTACTAGTAGACATGTGTCACTGGTGATCTTATTAAAATGCAGATTCTGACTCAGTGAGTTGGGGCCAGAGATTCTGCCTTTCTCGCAGGCTTCCAGGTGGTGCTGGTGGTGCTGCTGGTCTGACCCGTACCTTGAGTAACAAGGTAGTAGGGAATGATGTGCAGCCAACCATAATCTCTTGTTACAAATGAAGAAGCCAAGTCACAGAGCTGTTAGGTAATCATGGTGGGATTAGGCCTGACTTTAACAGCAGTGTTCTCAGCTATGACGTTGACCTGCACGCTTGGAGAAGGTGATCTGGAAGGTTCCCTGAATTCACTGTGTGGAGGCTGAATGAGATCCCCAGGTTATGAGGAGGAAGGGGGTGGCCATCAGCAAGCAGATGCTGGGGGTGCTTCACCCAGTCCCCACTAACTTCTCGCTTCACTGCACACCAGCCAACTCTTCCAACTGCCACCCCTGTGTCTTTCTGCCTGAGGGCTCTCGCTTGCCCCTGGCACCTGCTCTGCCTCCCACAGCAGGTCTGGAGGAGTAACACATCTGATAACTCCCAGGCGCATGCTCCACACTGGCTCCTGGAGTTCCCTAGCAGGACTGAACTGACCCACAATGGTCACTTGCTTGATAACTCCTCCCCCACCCTTCCCTGTCTCTTTAATCCCTAACATGGGATCACTTCCCAAATAAACCACTTGCACTGAAATCCTTGTCTTGGGGTCTGCTGTTGAGGAAAATCCGAACTAAAATTGGCCTCTGGTGCAGCAAGCTGAGAGTCAGTGGAGGTTACGGACATAGACTTCGGAGCAAGAGTGCCTGGGCTCAGCCCTGTTTGCTCAGGCAAGTGACTTAACCGTTCTGTACCTCTGTTTCTTCATCTATGAGCTAGGCATGCTAATATCACTCACCTCACAGCATGGTCTGGAGGATTAGACAATATGATGAGTATAAAGTAAGCACTCAGTAAATGTTTGCTGTTATTTGTAATATAGCATCCAAACGTAGGAGGAAGTGTGGTCCTAAGAACTGAGTACCCCCCTGCTTTTAGCCTCTCCTGCCCCCCAGCTGAAGGTACAGCCTTGGCGCTCTGCCTGCCCAGCATCCCCCCACTGCTGCGGGGGGCTGGCCGGCTGCGCCACCGACTGTCTCTGCTCTCTAAGAATAGGTTTCCCTCACAGATGGCATCTCTCTGGATCCTGCCAGAGCATCTGGTGCCTCCAACTGCTCACTCCAGGGAGCAAGGCTGTGTGGTCCTCTGCTGAGGAGCAGAGCCCTGGCTTCCAGCAGACCTGGGAGGAGTCCCCACTTGCCTCCCTCCTAGCTGAGCTTCCATTTCCTAAGATCTGTAAAACTGGCATTGCCGAAGGGCCCTTGGCACACAGTAGGCACTCTATAAACGCTAGTTCCTGAAATTGTACAATGGTTTACATGTCTATTAAGCACCTGTCACATTCCTATGAAGTCTTCTGACATGCAAGACTATAAAAAATAATATTTCATCAGTAGCCCATGCTCATAGTACAGAACTTACATGGTACAAAAGGTGTATCACAAGGAAAAGTCGGGCTCCCTCCTACACCCAAGCTCCACCCCCAAACCCCCCCTTTTGCCAGGAGCACTCACTGTTAGTACTTTCTAGTGTAGGCTTTCTGAGATATTCTGTGCACAGCCACCTGTCTTTGTCTTACGAGAAACTGTTTTAGAAGATTTTATTTTACCTTTTTTTTTTTCCTTAAGTAGGCTCCATGCTCAGCATAGAGCCCCACAAGGGCTTGAACTCACAACCCTGAGATCAAGATCTGAGCTGAAATCAAGAGTCGGATGCTTAACCAAATGAGCCGGCCACGTGCCCTTAAATATTTGATTTCTTTTTTTTTTTAGATTTATTTATTTATTTATTTATTTATTTATTTATTTTAGAGAGAAAGAGCACAAGTGGGGGAGGGGCAGAGAGAGAGGGAGAGAGAATCTCAAGCAGACTGCCTGCTGAGTGTAGAGCCCAACATGGGGCTCCATCCCATGCCCCTGAGATCATGACCCTAGCTGAAATCAAGAGCTGGGCGCCTAACCAATTGCACCACCCAGGGGCCCCTAAAGATTTTATTTTTAAGTAATCTCTCTACTCCATGTGGGGCTCAGCCTCATAACCCCCAGATCAAGAGTCGCACGTTCTGCCGACTGAGCCGGCCAGACGCTCCTGTCTTCCGAGAAACTTTCACATCACATTGTCATCTCCAAAGGTCTTTGGCATTTCTTCCTCGCGCTCTGCACGTTTAGTTTCTCTTTGATCCAGAATCTAATACGAAAGGAAGTCCTTTCTTTTAGCTGGTTCCCACCCCAACTCCACTCCCCGACTCGCCAGATAGCTCAGGCAGGTTCTTACTGTGATCAGCGTCTGAGATGAACCGCCCTAGACATCCGGAGCCTTCCGGTCGCTGACACCAGACGTTCAGGCCCGCGGAGCTCCGAGTGAAATGGAGAGGACAAAACTGAGGTTAATTTGGGACCTTCTGCTGCTCTGCTCCCAAAGTAGAGATCATCCAGTGAGCCCATGTGAGAGCGATGATTCACAGGCAGAGACGCCAAGAAACTGCCTCCCGACGCTCCCTGCTCCCGCCTTTCACATCACAGGCCCCAGAAAGAATGCTGGAGATGGCGTTGCATTGTCCGCTTGCTTCGAGAATTGGGCTCTGAACCCGATGCCCTCCTAAACCAGAACACTGTGCGGGGCTCCACCTCCCAGAGCGAACCCATGTCGCCGCAATCTGGGACTTCAGGTGCCTTGCTTTCTTTAACGAATTAGGGGGTATTTATAAAAAGAAACATTATTTTCCCCCCTCCCCTTGTCATGTTCCAGATGGATAGGGAGAGAGTTTGTCTTACTTCAGCCCTGAAGAGTATTTTGGGTGAGAGGGGTTTCATCTTAACCAGAGGGCCTCCCGCACGACTCGCTCCTGTGAGCCGCAGGCCGCCCCGGGCCACCTGGAGGACAGAGGGAAAGCTGGACTCTCCTCTGAGGATGGCTTTTAGAGAGGGCTTCCTAACGGAGGGCTCCCACCTCCTGTGCTGGGTCTCTGCGCCCGGAACTCTGTCGCTGTCACGATTTCACAAACAAGACAGGAAACGAGGCAAAATGGAAACGTGGGTCATGGGGTCTCTGTGGGAAGCCTCGTTCCCATTGCTTTTCCAGGCTTCTTCAGACTCTCCTCATGGGCTAGATGTCCGCTGAGAGAAGGACCAGGGCCAGACCACGTCAGCTCTTTTAAGACTCGTTTTTGGGGGGTCTTTTTAGTCTGTGTCCTGAACCCCTTTGGCATCTGGTGAAGCCTGTGAACCCGCTTCAGAATGCTGTTTTTAAAACTCATTAAATGGGGCGTCTGGGTGGTTCAGTTGGTTAGGCGTCTGCCTTCGGCTCAGGTCATGATCCCGGGGTCCTGGGATCAAGCCCCGCATCGGGCTCCCTGCTCAGCGGGAAGCCTCCTTCTCCCTCTCCCACTCCCCCTGCTTGGGTTCCCTCTCTCGCTGTGTCTCTCTCTTAAAAAACAAAACAAAAAAAAAAAAAAACCCACCTCATTAAATAAAATACGTAGGGGGCGCCTGAGTGGCTCAGTTAGTCAAGCC